TTTCAAGTTTCAATTCAAAACTTTAATTGAGGTTTGTTCAAGCGGAAATTTGCAAACTTGTGTACACAAAAACATCCTGGATCTCAGACAATGCTCAACTGAGAGATTGCCAGACAGTGGCAGCTGTTTGGCAAGGGTAAAAGCGAGGTTAAAGTCGTATTCTCAGACCACAATGTATATAAATTATATGAATATAGCAGCAGATAAATTAGAGATTTTCGCAATGATGTTGACTGTGTTAAATGTTTTATTGAATTTATTATCGTAAAATTTTGTATTTCATGAAAGACATCAATGACTCTTCCAGCGTAAATTATTAAATTCTTTCATTGCCATTTAACGCAAACTTTAATCCTCACAATATCCCATAAATGCAATCAAACTGTCGCCACAAAAATGATTTCGTTGTTTGTTGGGCGAGTCAAAGTTTTGCGTATGCAAATTTGATCCCAGCAATCCCAATTCTTATTTGTCCAATATGTTACACAAGAAATTATGTATACGTAACCGAGACTTTATGTTATTTATTTTGTGAAAAATAATTTTCTTCCACAATTTAAAGCGTTGTCAACACAATTGAATTCCAAACATACTCAGTTTGCCCAAAAATTCTCACATTCCATTGTTACAAATTGTTCAGAGTCTCCATTCTGGATTGTCATCTCAGCAGAGTGTCATACATCCCAAACAAATTCGATTCTCTTTTCTCTCCTTTGCACATTTTTAATGTTGATTTTTCCCAAACGTGTTGTCTGCTGGGAAATTGACAAATGAAATATTCAGCGTGAGTTTGTAATATTCTCCCAATCGTTTTATCAACAAGATTAATGATGCAAATTGTAAATTTCTGTAATTTCTGAAGCTTTTTTGGAAAAATCTTGAGTTCAGTTTCACACTAAACTTCTATTTTATGACACTTTATGACTTAAAGTGCTTCACGCCTGAAGTGTGAATTCGACAAAAGCGCCCTAATCTGGTTGTGGTTCACGAATCATGATTCCTCTTGAAAACATATATAAGAGCACCATGGAAACTTAAACTTTGGCTGTATATTTATTCAGATTAATATATTCAAGAGAAAGTGCCTAAGCTTTTGATGTTTCATAACATAAATTTGGGAGATTATTGAGCACTTCTCTCGCAACAAAAGCCATAATTCTGACGAGAATGTGGCACAACTCGATCCAGGAAATGTATTTTGACAATTTAGATTCCATTTGTAAAGTTCAATTATGATTATTCTTCATATGAGTTTCAAGTAATGAAATAATAAACAAAAGATATAAATGATGTATAGAAACTCATTTTCTTCGAATTGAAAAAATTGATAGAATTCTGGGATTATGCAAATTTACAATTTTGCTACAAAAACTCTAAACTCCAAAACATCATAATACAATTGTAATATAAAGCATAGAAGTTATTTTACAATCAATTTGTTTAAAGTTGGTATAAAAAACTACAATATTTAATTTCTCAAATTGCCCTACAGCTTTTTATTTATTGTTAAACACAAATATTTTGATTTTACTATTCCTATTTGTGGTAGGCAAGCGAATAGCATAGAGTGGCTTCAAATTAGATGCAAACAGTGCCGCGTCAGGGAAAAAGCTCAACATGGAAATTGTCAGTTTATCGGACTGTGTTGAGAACGACAGAAACTTGTAAACTATGTATTTTTGTGGAGCATTAAATGTACAATAAATATAATTAAAATGCATACACAATAGCATTAAATGTGCAATTAAACTTTTGTTGGAAACTCAAAGCGTGTATTTATTATAATGCCAGTTGGCGAGAGCTATTATTCGATATAATGCCAAGAAATTTTCCATTAGTTCTGTCGTTTAATATCCTTAATGAAAACCATAAAAACCACAGTTATTGTGGCTGAATAAATGAACTGAATATTTTTGCTCTCATCCACAAATTATATACTTAGTAACTTGTGGAGCTTCTGCTGTTCCTTTTTAACTTTGAGTTACTGCAGTCCTGAAACTCGTCCTACCGATATGTTCATGTATAATCACATGAACTCTATATTAAATTCATGATTTGAACGATTATATTGCTTCAAGCCACAATACAGAACAAACTGACATTCACATCAAACATCATTAGTCAATTAAAAATTAAAATAATTGAAGTATTTAAACATACAGCTTTGCATTATCATGAATGAAGTTGTTTGTGAAACAAATTTGTACTATTGCAAATGCGAGAAAAAAACAATTCAATAATTCAATTACACATCACAAGTGGTTTTCACAATCACTCATTAGGGATTTTAAGTGTTAAAATAAATTGAATTTTTCGGAATGTATTGAATTGCACTCGGCAATCATTGCAGTGAATGTCTGTTTTAAGTTTCTCTGCAAATGTTTTGTATCATTTTATTGTTATATATATATATATTTGATATATAGGTATTGCTTATTCAATTTTTATCAAGAATACATAGTTTTCAAGTTTTTTTCCGCTCAATTGTAAAAGTTCCTTCATGAATATTGAATTCTTTTAAGTATCCTTCAAGGAGTGAAGAGTGCTTTCAAGTTAAACGCTTTTATTTCGTCGTCTTTCAACCGAGATGACTTCCAGGAAAATCTTCACAGTTTAGAGCTGAAAATTTAAATGTCTATTTCGAGACGGTTCGAGTCTATAACTTTGAAGAGGGCGCCATTAAGGCACATACAATGCCATAAAGGACACGAGGGAAAGTGTAATTGGTAAATTTTTGAATGAATTGCGTATATAGTTCACTGATTAACCTGAAGTGTGCAGTCTCAACACTATTAAAATTCAATTTCAAGCAAAATAAGCAAAATATGAAAGACTGTTTAATGCACCATTTTTCATAGGGGAAAAATAATTAAAACTATGCAGGTAAATAGTTTTTCATAAAGGTTTTTCCTTGGGTTTTTCCTTTCACCTCGAGCTTATATTGTTTCTGCTGCAGTTGAAAAATTTTGGTGGCATTCAGAGGAGTTTCTTATTATTAACTACTAAATTGCAGGTACTGCGTATATAACTACAAAGGATCTCACACAAGCTTTAACAGCACAATGTCTTCAGTTAAATAGCCCGAGGTTGGTGAACTGAAAAGCAAGAATCTTTTATCCAGCCCACGTTCCGTCTGCAAACGATTAATTTAATTGCTTATCATTAATATTAGAAAATCTGCGCTGCCACTTACGCCCTCAATTTCAGGCAAATTCTCACAGTTCTCTGCGTCCGTCTTGCCATTTTGTAGCTTTTGTACTCCTATCATTAATTCCCTATACATTTTTCACTCAACCACGCTCCCTTGCTTGCTCCCTCATTCAACAAATTTGGCCAATTTGTTGCACTGCAAAAAAACACCACGTGTTTTTCTCATGTTGCCTATTTGAAGAACATTTCCACCGCCAGCAAATGAAAGTAAATAAACACCAAAATCCACTTGAGTTTCACTGCCACTCTGGGAAATGTGTCGTCCTGTGTCGCTTTGAATTTCACCACCAGAGCACTGAGAATTTAAGTCACGACCAGTATTTGCCATTACATACAATGCTGAACTATATTCAAAGTTCCATTTCCAAATTCTTGTGCTTTTGCCACAAGGAAAAACTTGTGAATTTGTGACTCTTGAGTCTCTCAGCAATGTGCCAGTATATATCATTACATTTCGTCTCAAGTTCTCCTTCTTATTCAGCTGAAATATGTACCTTACAAAATGCACTTTGTACAATTCATCCGACCAAGTGTGTGAGCACGTCCACTTGATAGCTTTCTTTTCTAATTATCTAAAAAGAGGTATTATTATACCTTTTAAATGCCAAACGCTTTCTTTAGATAAAGTACGAAATAGAGCTGTTAAGTAACTATGCTTTTCATTCAGCACCACTTAATTGCGAAATACATAAGGCTTGAACATTGAAAGGGTGAAAGTCAGTATAAGAATTTATAATCCCTGTTTGAAGTTGAAATTTTCTAGCACAACACGATATAGGTATATCCAGTTGGGAGCTATAAATTTCACTACTTAATTTCTGAGGATCGTATGTATTTCACGGATAAGAAAATAATGAGGATAAGCACATTTTGTACCGGTCTGCATCATCTCAATAAAAGCATTTTCTCCACTGAATGAGCATCTTGTGGATTATTTTGAAGTATCTCCTCGCAGACTCACAAATTTCACGCAACACTCACCATGCTTATTGCACATAATCCACTGTAGTGTGAGATTCAATGCACCATTCAATATATAAGATGTATAAGTGAAAGAAGTCCTCTGTGCACATATTGATATAAAAAGATATTTTGGAGAAAAAAAAACTACAGCGTGAAATTAAATCTTGATATCTTCAGCTCAGCAAGCGTCATCGTTATAATACAATGCTATCATTCTCAATTTATCCAGCGCGCTTTATGGAATCTGAAGAAAATTTAGAAGCAAGAATTGTTCACAATATCACACACAATTGTGGTTAAGTGTATTTTTCCTTAGATCAAGAAATTATTATTTTTTAATTATGTACCTGCTTGTTTTGTGGCACTATTGATAAAAAGCATTGTCGAAAAATATAGCTAATGAAGTCATTCTGTAAAATACAATTAAATCAATTAACTCAACCTAAAGTAAATTGTGCAAAAACGGCAAAACATTGTAACATTCGAGCAAAAATTTTGCAACACATAATTGATTTTTTAGGATTAAGCTACGTAAAATTCTCGCCGCAATCACTAATGAATTTATAGTGTGTTAGCGTGAGTATCCCCATAAATTATAGTATCTCTTCATGATTAAATTGGAATGTCAGAGAGGAATAAAAAAAAAACCAATTTACAAATTGTTCATGTGCAACTCTGTGACGCAAATTAACAAAGGCTTAAAAGAAAAACGATTCAACAGATCCACAAATCACAGTGGAATTACAATATTGCCATGACAAAAATACATGTCGACAAAAGTATAATATCTGCCATTAAATCTGAAATGAAATTGAAAATTAACACCATATATAACGAGGGGGTTCCTCTTTATTGACATTGGGGTACACGAATGAGATTTCGGAGAAACACTTGGCTTTCAATCAGCTTATATTGCTTCCTCTTCATCACCTCATCCTCTTATTCTTCTCGCCACTTTCTCATTCAAGGAGATACTCTCTCTCTCTCTCACTTTTTATGGCCCCACCCTGCGAGTAATCTGTGCCGAAAATCCCACGTTTAAATAAGAAATGATCTGGGCTTGTGAACTTTTTTCCACTAAATATAATTCCGAATGTTTTTCTATATAGCGTATCTTAAAATAGCAGAATCCGCTTCTCGACAGTCTTCCGACAAATTGGACACCCTTCAATTTGGTCACCGCACATTTGGCAGGTGCCGTGACCGCAGAGAAACACCATGTTTTTAATCCTGTCAAAGCACACCGGACACATTGTCTGCTCTTTGATGTCCTGCAGTTGCTGCTGAAGTTTCTGCACGTCATCAAGCTGGATGTTATTGATGTTTGCATTCGCCATTTGTGTCGTGATCGCGGCCACTGTCGCCCCAGCCGCGTTATTCATCGACACTCCCTGGCCCGCCTTGTTGACACCTTGTGGCGCCACGGGCTCCTTCTTGTCGTCCTGCGACGCAGACACCTTGGAAATCGTGCCCTGGCCTCCGCAGCAAACGACCAGGGGAACCATCTGTTCAATTTGCGTGCGACATTCCACGCACTTCTTCATGATGGGACCGCAATTTTCGCACGCCACCATGTGGCAACACGGCTTGAAGAACACCGATGCTCGACGATCGGAGCATACCAAGCATTCGTCAATCTGGGAAAAAGAGAAAACCCAAAATATGTTTAAACTATTGATTTTCCTCAAGTCACACTTAATATATGCGAAGTTGAGCCTTTGTGGCCGATTCACAGAGTAACAAACTCTATTTGGAGTTGAATTCAATGCAAGAAAAATTGATTTTATAGAAATTTGAAATACGATTCGAACTTTCTTATTCTTCTTATTGCTACATTGATATTCTTATGTGACCACGGAAAGCAGCTGTGTTTTGACCCAGTTCTAATTATTCACCTGATGCTACCATACATATAACTTAACAATTTGACAAGAAATCTAAAAAAAAAACCATTGACAAAATAAGTTGATTTATGTACTCAAGTGTAATAAAAATAGCTCTAAAGTTTCGTCCTACTTTTCCAAACATATTTCAAATGCAATTTTAATATTGATTGTGTGCAGTGTTTCGTCAGATGAAAGAATTGGAGCATATTATGAACACGGAATTCTAAATGACTTCAGACAGCTTTTTATCTCACTATATTTTCTGAAAATTGCGAACATCAAAAAAGCATTTTCCGGGACAGCGATTAGACGAAACTTGAATATATCACAGAGAAATGAAACTGTCATGTCGACTGAATTCGCTTCAACTACTTAAAATTATGGCGCTTGGATAGAAAATCGATTTCTCACCTTCTCACGCGATGAAACCGTCTCACGACAGATGAGACACTTCTTCACGCGCACTGAGCAATTGTCGCAGCAGCAAACATGTCCACATGGCTTGAACACAGTATCCCTCTTCTGCTCGGAACACACAACACACTCGTCCAGCGGCCCTCGCGTCGTGGGCTCCGGCGGCGGCACAGGAACGGGCGGCCCAGTGCTCACATTGCTGCCCGCCATATTTCCCGGCAAGTCCATATCATCCGTCTTGCGTTCGTTGTAGCACTTGACCAGCGTCTTGCAGAGATTCGGATCCGGACAGAGATCGAGCGGTGTTTGCAGTTTGCGGTTCTTTATCGTCAAATCCGCCCCATTTGCGGCCAAGAAGCACGCAATTGAGGCTGACGCCTTCTTGTCAGTGTGCTACAAATATAAACCAAAAGCAGCCATAATTAGATGAGAAACTTTTAAGAGTATATCTTCTTAATTAGCTTCCAGTGAGACACTCTTGTGTTACGAATGCAGCCCAAAGCAGCAATGGAATAAAATGATAATTGGATGGTCGTGACTTTAGACTTTAAAGTTCCATTAAAAAGTTGCAGACTCTGAGTATCTCTTATGTTTTATCTCAACACTGCGCGCTGACTGCCAGGACAATATTGAAAAAGTTCCACGCCAAAACTCATGGCCGACAACATCAAGTGATAACGAACATGAATTCATAGAAAGAGAGTAGGAAAGCGGTGCAGCACTCACATTTCTCAATCCCATGAGGAGCTTTCCAAATCCCTCCACATCCTGCAATTGACGAAGTTGCGATAGTGTATGATGACGGAGTGCTTCATGAAGTGGAGTATCGCCATCCTTATCAGGAATATTCAAATTGGCACCTTCTCGCACCAAAAGCTGCAAAAAACCATAAAATTGAATTTATTCCTCACACCATTTCACTTTTTTTCCTAAACACTTCTTTCCCTCATAATCTAATTTTTCTCCCATGATATTCACACCAAAAATCCAGTGCGGAAATTCGCTTTTCGCTCTCCCTTTTCTCACATTATTCCCAAAACCGTGAAATCAATTCGTTCACAAATTGCGTATACATATACGTAAATGTGTATATTCACAGATTATTTTCCTCTTCGGCTAAATGAATGGCGCATCTTAACCTTCCTCAAGATCCGGCATCAAATCTCATCTAATCATCAGGTCTTACGGAGTGCTTAGGACAACATCGCAAGTTCATACATAAATAAATCGATTCAAAGAGGATTTAGTTGTGACCGCACTGCGACATGCAAACCACACCCTCACAGGACACACCGTGACGTCCTCAGTTGGCCAATCTGTTTTGTACACTTTCAGCAAAAATTTACATAATTACTCACTTTGACAATTTGCACATGTTGTCGCTCGACAGCAAGATGAAGTGCTGTCTGGAGATTCACATTCTGCTTATCCATGTTCGCCTTTCCCATGTGCACCAGCAAATCTGCTATTTCGCCGTGATTGTTCAATGCTGCCAAATGTAGCGCCGTGTATCCATCGTCCTTCTTCTCCTCCACAATCCACGGACGATTCGTCTTGGTTAAGAGGATTTTCATCGCACTGGGATTACCCTTCAGTGCCGCATGATGCAGTGCATTGAAGCCATTGTTGTTGGTCAGCGTGATATCAGCACCAAAGTCCAGCAGAAGAGACAGCATTTCGTCTTGCTCCTTCGAGATTGCATCGTGAAGTGGCGTGTCGCCCTCCGAATCCTGCAGACTCGTGTGGCAATTCAGCTCGAGGAGGGTCTTCACGACATTCAAGTGGCCCTTGTTGATGGCAATGTGGAGGGCCGTCTGACGGCGCTTGTTGCGCGCATTGAGATCAGCGCCGGCCTTCGCGAGCAACTCCACCACACCAGGTTCATCTCCGAAGGCGGCATGGTGAACAGCACGATCACCATCCTTGTCTTCAATCTCCACATCGGCGCTGTGTCTCAGCAACACCTGAATCACCTCCAGATGTCCATTCTGGCTCGCCGCCTGCAGAGCTGTGTGTCCAGCAAACACGCCATTAACATTTGCCATTGATGTATTCGACGCTCCAGCGCCATCCTGAGCGCATCCTGCAGCAAGAAACCACCATTAATATACACCAAATCATGAAAACCAATGACCAAATACCTGTGAGAAACTCCTCACACTTTACATGATCCCCATTAGCGGCAGCCTTCACCAACTCCTCAGTCGCATCGCCGGACACATGAGGTTCGAAGAGCTTCTTCAGGATCGCCGACAGACGCTCACCGCTTGATGTGACTGGAACAGTCCCATCGGACGCCGAAGCGACTTTAGTCAGCGCCAATGGATTGTAAGTCCACGAAGTTCTACCCACTTCCACCTTCAAGTCATTGTCATGGTAAACTTGCTGGACACGGCCAACTTTGCCGAGTGTCGGAATCATCGCGTCCGCCCACTCGCCATGACCGCGCTGAAGATTCTTGATGCGCTCCAAGTCGCTGCAGATCTTCACGAAATCCCCAACAGCAAATTGCTGCGATGATCCCTCACCAGATGAGGACACCGGAGAGGCGATCTTCGTCAAGACTGCTGGATTAAAAGTCCACCGATTTGCGCTGGGATAAGCCACCACAATATCGTGATCCTCATCGATGCCAACGACTGTGCCCGGATTGTTGAGACACTCAAACATTCCATCAGTCCAGCCACCGTGACCATGCTGCAGCGATTGTACAATCTCCAGCTCCAGATCCACGGACACCTGATCGCCAATGTGGAAGCCATTCGGGCCCTTGCCGGGCCCATTCTCGCCCAACAACGGCAAATGATCCCTGTACACAGTAGTCCCTTTAGCATCGTTGACCACCTTCAGATCCGCCATGCCTTCGAAGCCCACGCGATACAGATTCTTCGCTCCATTGTCCCACACGACGTAAGCAGCGGATCGCGGAGAGGCTGCCGACCAGTCCTGAATCTCATTCACCTTCCCGCGGCGACCGTTGCCGCCATCCTGGTCCTCCCACTGCCAATCCACGCCGCGCACTACCCGCGCCCCTGGAAAAATGCCCCTCACGGCAATCTTCTTGGACTTGCGGCGCGGCTCCAGCAGCGTCCGGTCGCCGCCTGGCGTCGAGATGCGGTAGAAGCGATGACGCAGATGGTGCTTGTCTCCGTGATAGCAAATGGAGCAGAGGTCGTAATTGGCGCACTCGGCGCACTTCCAGCGAATCCCGAAGATCGGTTGCTGTCTGCACGTGTCGCACATCGTGCCCTCGTGCTTGATGCCCGTCGGGGCGCTGTCCAGCACCCGCAGATCGTACGCCCCGGCGCACCGGTAGTTCGCCGCCGTGCCGTTGTCCCACACGACCACCACTTCTTCAGACGACTCGAAGTTCCGCACTGTTCCACAGTGACCTTCACCGCCATCCTGAAGAGACACAAAACGAGAGAGACAGAGATGAGTCAGCGCTGGAGTTCGCACTCTGTTCATCACTCACTTTCTCTCAACGCTCTACACGCTCTACAGATAATGGCTACTTGAGATACGAATCTATCGATAAAAAGCTGCAAGATTTTGTGCAGAAGAAATATTTCATTTTTGTCTCAAGCTTTGTTTTAAGGGTTTGAAGTTTGGGATGATCTGCAAAATCCGTCAAAATCACGCTTAAAATTTCCCATTACATCGCAGAAATGAATCAACAAATCAGATTCAACGTGATTGTTATCAATTTCCTGACAGCCCAAAGACAAGATAGCTGTGCTTATCTCATCATTAGGTTTACAAACATCACATGGTCATTCTGACTCATCTCGGCTTCCGTGTTTACACTTTCATCCCCCAGTCAGAGCGACGTTCTGGAAGAGTGCGAACCCCAGTTCGACCCAAATGCCATTCTTTTCGCACCACCGAAGCCAATTAAACCATCAGAGAGATCAATTATTCCGCTAATTGGCCTTAATTAACGCCTCTCTGGCCTTCGGGACCCAGAGAGGCGCTCCCGGACGCCGTGACGAGCTCACCTGCTTGGCCCACTTCCAATCCGGACCTCGAATCACGCGGCTGCCGATTCCCTCCAGGCGGACGTTTCCCGTCCGCGGCGGAACCTTTCCGCTGGGCGGCTTTGTCTCCCCGGCGGCACCCGAAGACGTGCAAGCCATCTGAAAAACAGCAGACATTGATCCAATCTGTAAACAAAATGCCTCCGATGTCTGCACAATGCGGTGAAATTCACTGCGACTCTTTGCCAACTTTCTCTGCGAAATTCGATGGAACTTCGCGCGAAAAACCCACTAAATCGATCGTCAATCTGAAGGGGAGGACAATGTACTCACTTTAAAGGGTCGAAAGCACAATTTTAGTGGTATTTTCTGCACAAACAGTATGAGAAAAACTTTTCGCGAAAGTGAAGGAATGTCACTGGAAATCCCACTGACTGACAGCGCACTGTTTCGCGTAACACCATTGTGGCGGCGCTGCTGCGCTTTTGTTTTGCTTTCCAGTCAGCTGATCACTGGAATATATTTACATTTGTTGTGCAATTGTACAAAAGGCGGATTTTGCCTTAATTTTCTTCTAATTATCAGTAATTAAAAGCCTTTTTGCCAAACATGAGTGGTGAGGAAAATTTATCCTGCATTTCAAGAAGCATCAAATTCTCCAGTGTAACAGAGTTGCTGGAGAAAATTAAAGAATCAAAAGGATTAAACAAGAAAGAAGAACTATTCCGAAAGTTTCTCAAAACTTTTCAAGATTTCCAAAAAGATTCTCAAATTACGAGTAAAAATCAGGTAATCACATTCAGTCAGAGGTAATTTGTCCAGAATCTCTATAAATTAGTCCTGATTCTCTTCAGAAAACGAGCTTTCATCCGATTCTTCGGCTTCTGCTTCCGGCTTGTGACATGGAGAGGAGTTCTTATGGCATCAAGGAAGTCACTTTGGGACGCTTATACATACGGATGCTGGGTATTGACGGAAAGAGTGCAGACGCAAAGACTCTCCTGGAAGGACGCGCCAGCTCTGCAGACTACGGAGAAATCGTTTACAGAGTGATGAAGACAAGATCAAAGCCTGTCTCTGAGATTACGGTCTTCGAAGTGAACCAGGGATTAGATTCAATCGTGGATCACTACCAAAATGGACGAATGAAGAGTGAGAAAAGGTTGTACATATAATTTAAAAAATGATTCTCACTTGTTTTTTTCAATTCTTACAGAAATTGACGATATCTTGATGAAATTGATCTCAAATATGACAGCAAGTGATCAGAAATGGCTCTCCAGAATCATTCTGAAGCACTTGCCACTGGGTTTGGGTAGGAAAAAAATCTTCAACGTCCTCCATCCTAAAGCTGAACAGCAATACAATATCAGCAGCAATTTATATGCCGTATGCGAACTTCTGGACAGAGCAGAGACATCGGAAAGTGGTGCAATTCCTCAACTTCCAGAGGTGGAATCTGTAAAGATATTCAATCCCGTGAAACCAATGCTGCTCGCAAGAATAGAGATGCATAAGTTGGAAGAAGCAGTAAATCGTGGTGAATATTTCATTGAGACAAAAATGGATGGAGAGCGATTTCACGTACATCGTTCAGGCAACGAGTACAGATTTTTCTCGCGCAACGGTCACAACTACAGTGAAAAATTCGGGAAGGACTTCACCTCAGGAAGTCTCACGCCTTTCATTCACAATCTCTTCGCTAAGCATGTCGTGAGCATTATTCTTGATGGAGAAATGATGGTGTGGAATCGAGAAGACAATCTTTTCTACGTCAAAGGAGACAATTACGATGTAAAAAACATCCTTCGAGATGATTCGAAACTCAAGCCCGTCTTGTGCGTCTACGATGTGCTTTTCCTAAATGGAGAGAGTCTCACTGAGAAGCCTTATGCGGAGAGAAGACGATTGCTGGCCACACTTTTGAAGGAGAAAACAGGAGCTCTTATTCTTGGGGAGTATAAGAAAGTTAGGGACTTTGACCACGTTTTGGAGTGCTTCAATGAATCTATCGATAGATGCGAAGAAGGAATTGTTATCAAAGCAATGGGATCACATTATCGGCCTGGCGTGAGATCTATTGAAGCGGGATGGTTTAAATGCAAACCAGACGTAAGTATTTCTTGCTTCACACATATTTAATAGCTGAATTTCTGATAATTTTTAATCTTGCCTTTTCAGTACATCAATGGAGTTGTGTCCGATTTGGATTTGCTAATAATTGGTGGATATTATGAGCCTCAGAAGCGATACATGGAATCGTACCTCTTGGGAATTTATGCAAATGGGCCCGGCGAGAGAAATGACCCAGTGTTTTATTCAGTGGCAAAGGTCAGTGCCCAAGGGCTCAAATTTGCTGACAGGCGCAAATTAAGTGAGGACTTGAGGGCGCGCTGGCGACCAGTGGAGCAGGAGAAGGTGGGCAGAAAGAGCACATTTGTGGTGCCGCAGTGTCTTGAGTGGCAAAATGCCGTGCCTGATGCGTGGATCGAGCCGAATAATTCGATTGTGTTGGAAATCAAAGCGACAGAGTTGACGAAAACCACCACTTTTCGCACCACTCACGCCCTCAAGTTTCCACGTATTGTCGCTGTTCGTGAGGATAAGCATTGGTATGACGCTTGTGCGCTGGAAGAATTTCAGCAATTGTGTGGAAGGAGTGAAACAGGTGTGAAGAAGTTGGCAAAGCGACACATAACGCGCGATGATGCGAAAAGAGGAACAGCAAAGCGCAGAATTGTCGCAGAGAACAGGAATTTGAAACACTATCGAGATCACGTATTGACAGTATCGTCAATTTGTGAAAACTTGAAGTTCTGTATTCTCAGCACTTCGCGCAATATGCCAAATGTTCATGAGCTCCGACAGATGATTTGGCAGCATAGTGGCGAGATTGTGGAGAATCCTGGAGCATCAACATTCGCCATAATCGCCGGTGATATGACACTGAATGTACGCAAGTACGCCGAGAAGAAGCTGTACAATATTGCCAAAGTTGAGTGGCTGATGAAGACGTTGGGAAGTGGAACTATTCCAAAGAAGCTACCCAGATTCCACCCTAAAGATATGATTTCGTGCACAGAAGAACTTGAGGACTACTTCACGAAGTCCTTTGATGACTATGGAGACTCTTTAACAATTCCTGTTGATTGTGCATCGCTGAAAACACTCTTGGGCCACATTGAGATTGACAGGAGTGAGAGATTGCTGCGAAGGGAGCTGATTAGCATTGAAGAGGAGATTTATGCAAATAGCCACGAAGGGCGGAACATTTTCCGCCCCTTCTCTGCCCACTTCTTTGCCGCTAATCAGTGCGACGAGACGAAATTGGCTGAAATAATCTTCAAGTCACGCCACGGAAATGTGATTGATGAATTCATTTCCTCAGACTGTACGCTCATAGCCATAAATCCCCTCAAAGATTTATTGGATCAATTCAAACGGCAATTCTCGAGTCAAGGAAACATTCAACTCGTCTCCATCGCATGGATAGCAGCGAGTCACTCTGGGGGAAAAATTGCCAATATGTCTGACTATCTTATTCCGCTGCTCCAATAACTGTGTTGTGGACCATTGTAAATTGGTAAACAAGTGTGAAATTGCAGTGGATGATGCTCTGTGAAACTGCCGACACTCTGTTACACATTTAATTGGCACTAAACAGTCCTTCCACTGTTTTTCGCCTCTCTTCTTTGAGGAGTCGAAGGCACAATTCGTTTCTGTATCGTATTTCATGTTAAAATTTTCTCCCTGTTACAAGATAATGAACTGTGAAACTTACTAAACGCACCCGATGGTTTTCGTCCCGAATCATCTGATGAGAAAATAGGAGAAAATGTGTAATTTTAAATTTATTTTAAACGTATTTGTATAAGACATTTTTCAGAATAAATTATTTTTATAGATTTTCACATAATCTGATTTGTTCTCTAATTAATCAACTTGGCATGTTTGTATCGCGCAGTCTATAATAAGATATATAATTGTAATATATATTGTACATTAATTAGGTAATTAGTAACCATTTTCATTGGCCACTGACGCAATTTGTACCTCGTGTAACGCAATATTATAATCACGTTACGCGCTAATAGAAATAAAATCAACTGGTGGCACAGTAACACTTTGTTTTTCATGCTTATTAAGAGATCATAAGTGATAATAATAAAGAAATAGTCGAAATAATAAATATTATAAAAAGTGTTAATTTATTACAAAACATTGGAACTAAATAAAACGGTGTAATTTGAATTCTTGTCTTATTTCGAAAAATATGGTTCCCTATTTTTTCATTACAAGAAACTCGATTTTTCCCAAATCAGGAGAGATTCCAATTAATGTAAATGAAGCAGCAATTAGTTTCACATCTCAATATCACCCCGAGGAACATTAGCAACAGTTGAGAGTGTGATTTTCCCTTCAGCCTCGTAAGAAAACTGTAAAGAAGGTGAGAACATGTGCGTTGTGTCCATTGCTCACTGATTTGTTTTATATTTCTCTTGAAAAGCCGACAGCTCTTAAGGTGACTCGGTAAATATTTTCATAGTTAAAAACTCCATCGCGACGTGGAAATCTTCATCATCTTTCACATTCACTTCGGGCTCAATGGTTGCTCTCGTCGTGGTAAAAGTCTTGTCTAGTTGCACAGCATGTGGCAGTTCCAAGTGAGGATGTTTGTAAAGTTGAATGTGACGAAAATTCTATAGTATGAAACGAGTTAAATTAGAGGCGCTAATATAGTTCTCGTTTCAAAGATTGGTGGTGACCACAGAAACCAACCTTTGACCACCACCAACCAAACCATAGTTCAGAGTTTTCTTCTCTTCACACAAATATGACAGAACGCCGTTCTCCGCTGCAAGATATCTCTTAGTAAAGATCTTAGTAGCATAGGCGGGCTCAAATTGACAAGAGACACGTGAAAAAAAACAAGTTCAAGTGACAAAGCGATGGAAGAACGTCTGTACACGCAAATATTGAGAGAAGAGTGGTTTCGGGAACCTTGCTATTATTATTATTATTATTATTAAGTTTTGTTTTACGGCGGGCAAATTGTAAGTTTGCCGGACCAACCCATACATAAGTGGTTCTAAAGTACACTGATATACAACAAAGACAGAGTTCATGACAATTCCAGCGAAGCGTATGTTTTCAGCTGAAACATTACCACTCTGCTGTGTTCGAACCTTTGCAAGCGGTGGGATTCGAACACACGGACTGTAGCGTCGAGAGTCAGACGCGTTGACCACTGAGCCATAGCCGCTCTACAAATTTGTAATTGAATTTAGCCCTTGTATTTCTATAAACAACAACAAATCTCGAATTGAGGCCCTTGAGTTATCAGTGACAAGACTTTTATTTTTAGGCGGGATTAAGAATGCGGCTACATTAACTTATTTATCTATTACCTCATGTGATTGGTATCTATTCGGCGGGAGAGTGGAAACTACAGTAAGGATCGTGTTGAATTGTATTTTTGCTGCTGTCACTCACGCTCTAGATGACTTGTGAACTCCTCGCAACAGAATATTACTAATTTTATATACTTATTCATATTCTTTTGCCTCAACACTTTTCAGTCTCTGCCTTTGCTGTACTCATCGCCAGTTTTCCATCGGCAACACTCCTCCCATTTTTTCGGCTCAGCCAGAAATGAACCAATCCGCTTTACATAATCTCGGCAAGATTTGTTATTTTACGAGAGACGGAAAACCGCCTTTTCAGCATACATACATACCATCGCATTCAGTGCATGAGGCAGACATCGCAGATGAGCTCGAGAGCTCCTGGAAAGTCTTCAGATCCGGACAGATGGTGGTGACGAGTGGAGACGCAGTGACTCGAGTGATAATCGCAAGTGTCGCAAGGATGTCCGCGAATGGGGAGAAAGTGGATGATGGACAGAAGACGAGGCGGCTCCTGAGGACACCAAAGTGTGCTCGGTGTCGCAACCACGGTGTAATTTCCTGCCTCAAAGGCCACAAAAAGCTGTGTCGCTGGCGAGAATGCTGCTGCCCCAACTGTCAACTTGTGGTGGAGCGACAGAGAGTGATGGCAGCTCAGGTGAGTTTATCGTCAGTCTCGCGAGTTGCCTCGCGACTTATCTCATTAGCTATTAAAGGGATAATATCTCGCGGCAGTGGGAACCTGTTGATGGATGTAATCCCTCGAGCCTCCGCTTTTTAATTTCGCTCACATTATTTTATGTAAAATTTCACGAGAATTCTTGTCATTTCATTTGCTTTTAGAGCTTTATTTAATGATTGTCATTGCATTTTTTTTTTTATTTTACAATAACGTGAGCATAATTCTGTTAGATCACTTTTTTGAGTATGTCATTTTGTCAGAACATATACACTCTTGTTTACGTTAAAATCCAAATAAATTAGACCTAAAAGATTCCCATTCGTTACCAAAAATTCGATGCCATCAAGAATGTTTTTATTTCAACGCAATGTTTGAATTTTCCATTTTCACAATTATTAACATACGCTTTGCCTATAATTGCTTTCATCCAAATGCATTCATTCCTATAACTCTCTAGCATTTCGGTTTCTTACTAAACTTTGACTTCTTTGTTTAATTTCAAGCATGTCGGATTAATACAGGGAAAGGTATGAGTAAAATGAATATCACTGTATGCAAAAGTGAGGCTTCGTTATAAAGCGTTTCATCCCCGGAACAAGTTGTGCAGTGCTCAACAAGTGCTCTACTTCAGAGCAATTGAAATCGCAATTATAGTCTATCTAAATATTTGCGCAATATGGCACTTAAAGAGCTTAAAGCGAGCATTTTCATGGAGTGGAACATGCTCTATGTACATAAATTTGCAGAGGACATACATATTTTCGAATGCATCCCATGCATATATACATAATGTACATTTGTGAGTTCACTTATGCATTATGTATGGAATTATGTATAAGGGAAAAAGGGCTAAAATTCAATTATTTCCTCTATACATTCGCATGCATCTTTGATAAGGAGAAGAGTTTCGGAAAAATATGTAGCAATTTTGTCAGGCCATATTGATTTTCGTGGATCCTTCTTGAAGGTGGCACTTCGACGGCAACAAAACTCCGAGGAGGAGGGCAGTCAAGGCGGTCTCGTGAATCGAATGCAGTCGATGGAAGCTTTGCTGAACCAAAAACGGAACTATTTGAAACATCTTCGCAATCTGCAGCAATCAACAATTTCGCGTGATATTCTCCAAGGTGAGCGCCTCTTGCTTTTCCCCTTTTCTGCGTTTTCTTTCTTGAGAGAACAAATCCGTGGGCGTTGCGAGTGTATATTTTGACTAAAGACGAGTTGTGGCAACAACAAATGGAACCAGCTGGACATCATCACTCACATTTTCCTCCGCATCTCAATGTTGACGTTGGGCAAAAATTCAGTTTGTCTATTTTTCACTCTTTCCCCGATTTTTCCCCATTTAATTTATTGTTGCAAGATTTCATTTGCTGATGGACATCTTAATGGGTTGAATACGCTATTTGACGATTTATTGCTGTTGGTAATTATATACGATTTTCGTTATTTAGAAGAAAAACTCTTTAAAACTAAACAATTACAATCATCTCAGTTTACGAGGGGTCGATGTATCAAATTTTAATTACAGCTCTTGCATTGGCTTCCTGAATTTTTGTCTGTTTACAACGAGTTTCATAATTCCACGGATTTCTGGCCAAATCTGATCCTTTTCAAAAAAAAAACCATAATGTCATTACATCTCAATTTTCTCAGACGTTTTTTTGGGCAAGGAGAATGAGAATATTGAAAAATAAATAAATAAATATTATGGACTTTTAAGTAGAATATTCCATCTCTAAGTTATTTCACACACAGATGTGAGAAAATAAGGATGATAATTGTTATTTTTTCGACTCATGTTTCTCTCCTTCTCAACCCCAAGAGGCCATTAATAGAAATGAGTGGAAAAATGGAAGTTTTACAACTGTTTCAATTTATCCTTGTAGAGTTTCTCTTCCTTTTGACATACTATTCATTCGCAGCAGACCAAGAGAGCATAAAGGGGTTTGTCATTGAGGAATTTTGGGCTTCTACGCGAAGGAAATTTGTGAGCCTCTTCTGAAACTAATGCATATAGTACTGTGAAGTGAGAAACCCCCAAGTCAAGTTAGATTAGACGCTGTGGCACCAAATATGACTGAAAATTGAGAAATGGACTGGAAGAAACACCAATTTGTACGACAATTTCACTCTTGTAACTCCGACGGAGGCCCTTCTAAACACATGTTCGGCGTCATGTTACCGAAATTCTCGGCGAGAGACTGCTCGAGAAGTGTCCTGCAGTTGAAAAGTCAAAATGATAATCACAGAGAGGACACACAAAAGAGTCAAATTACAATATCCTGCTCATTGTGCTAGACACTCTGGCTCGTTTTCACACTCATCTTTCATTCGCAGGCATCAGGAGATATCCGCCATTCAGCACACCATTGGCCGATCGGATCCGGAAGCGACGGGCGTTTGCTGACCGGGAACTGGACTTGCAATCCATCAGTGCGGGCTCATCGCTGATAACTCAAGTGCCTCCCTTTCCTGCTTTCCCCTATCAGAGCCCTTGCGATCTGCCGCAGCGCCTCTTCAGCCCCCACTTCAGCCTCCACTCAATACCCCCGTCGCAATTTCCACCTCAGATCACCGACCAGTGCTTCCAAACGTCCCCCGCCTCACTTCCCGTGGAGCCAACGAAACTGCGTGTACTCCATCAGAGCGAATTAAATTCTATTGTGGAGCCACAATCGAGTACAAAAGCCACCAAATTATCCTTCTCAATTGAAGCTATTATGGCCATCAACTGAGCACGATGGTTGCTATCGATATTCATTATGATGCAATTTATAAGAGGAAATTAATACAAGAATAAAAGTTTTTGAGAATGAAAACGGTGTTCTCCATATTAATTTCCTATTCTGGGAAGGATTATTCATAAGTTGCCATAGAGACATTCCATCTAATTTCCGGGTAAAGTAATAATAAATTCTTATTGATTTTAGCTCATTTATGTGGAAAATTAGAGCGGAATTACATAGAAAATGGCACAATTATGCAACTTGACATTCATTTCGGTGACGACAAATTTGAAAGGATCCGTGATTAATGAGTTGTTATGTTGGAAATCACTCATAAAACAATATCCGCCACTCTACGCCATAAGTCGATGAGTAAATCATTGATTGCAACGTTGATAATGATTCGAAAATAAACTCCACAACTATTTCTGAACATTTAATATATTCTTCAACAACTCCCCTCGCATTGACAGGAAGGATTACATGAGATGGCTATAATACTTTTTATGCAGTAAACTTCTTCAACAATTACATTAAATTTACGCAATACTTCTTACAATGGAGTAAATGGCTCCTCTTTAGAGCGCCTCAGAGATATTTTGTTTGTCAGAATTTGATAATGATCATTTTTAGATAAAATATACTTGCTTGATATCATATCAATGTGGATTATTGTCAAATGTGATGTAATGTCTAAGAAATCTTTTGATGACACTCATAAAAATGTACCTCGGAAGCATTTATCACAAAGTCTTCACTTTATCTCACACTTTTGTCTCAGTATTTTAACATGGAAGCAATTTTCATTTTCTAAATATTACATCCTTTCATTTACAATATTACAATAGTTTCAGTATTAAAGTATTCAAATAAATGTTACAAAAATTTTCAGATTTCTCCTCTTTTGGTTTCAAATTTTCCTAGAAAGTCATCTTTGGTCCGTAGAAACCATAAAATTTATGAACTTATTACAATCGTGATTGTGTTTGGTTTGATATATAACAACTTATTTGTAAAATCGATATCATATGGGTATATGCTTGATACATACCTCAGAGAGTCTCTTGTGTAGCACATTATTGATAATGAGAGTGTGTGGAGCCAGGAGAGAATGGGTGATTAATGAGCCGTGCAGAAGTTTAGTCGTGGGATTTTGTGGGCTGGAGTTGCTGGCGCGGAAGTGCCGGACGTCTCAGAGGGTGCCACATGGCCACGGGCTTCCGCACTGAGGAAATCATTTGATTCCAGTGCCGGAGGCCTTTTCCCGAGGCCGCGCTGCCCAGAATTACGTGACCCAAGGACACCACGCAAGTCGCGTCGCTCTCCAGCTGGTGAGCTACGGTGAGGCGCACTTGGATGGACGAGAGCATATAGGGAGGCACGCTGAAGATCATGGACTCATTGTAGATGGGACTCTTCTCCTTTCGCTTCGTCGACGTCTTCTTCTTCGACACCTTCTTATCGTCCTTCAACAAGTACACCTTCACAAAGACATTCTCCATCTCTTGCAACTTCTCGTCTATCCGGAGGTTCCTGGCCTGAAAGGGGTTTCAGAGGGATTTATTTTTGTAAGAATTTAATTATTAGATGAATCTTTCAAAGTCCATTTCGCCAAGTGTTGTCTTTTGAAAATTTACTGGCCAATGACGACCAAAATCAGTCAATTTTAAACTCAACTTCTTCGCATAATATGCTAGAAACTTCAAGTACCTTATTTTCCCATTATCTTATCACTTGCTGAAATAAATTTTAATTAATTTTTCTCTCAGTGTAAATATGAAATTTTAATGAGCCTTATAAATGGTGTCTAGCTTTAAATTATCTCATTCTTCTTATACCAAAATGCACAAGACCTTGCTTGTAGTAGGAGCAAAATTTGTCTGGGATAATTTGCATTTAAGATAATCTTGACACAGAATTAATGCATTATATAGATGAAACTATGTAGACACTCGGTGAGAGACTGGTAATGAAAGACTTTCTTCAGCTCATGACTCAACAGTGGAGTAAATGCGAGGAGATTAATTTACTCGGGGCAGGGGAAACTGTCGAGAACTAAATCTTGTGATAATTGAATAGGTGTGGATGTGTTTGGCGAAAGCACTTCACTATATCTTCTAAAGTTACACACTCGAGCGTGGCTTACCTTCACCACCACCACGGTGAGGCGTTCCGCCGTGGGCAGATAGCTGAGGCAAATCATGAGTTCGCCCCAGTTGCAGTTCTTGCTGTGGCGCGAGTCCGAGAGGGCCAGCCAAGTGGTGATGGGACGGGCGCTCAGATCGGATAATTGCATCTCCGCCTCGCCGATTAGGGTGTGCGCCAGGCCACTGTGGTACAGGTGGAACCAGAGAGAGCGCCTGGTACGCTTCTTGCTCATGAAGAAGCTGAACGTCTCATTGTAACTGGGACAGGCGGAGTCCTTGAAGAGCTGTGGACGAAAAGAAAGGTGGTTCGAGATGTTTCCACATGAGAAGACTTCAGCCCCCTTCAAATTTCACCTTCGTTTGAGAGGCTCCAGTCTCGTCAGGTACTAAATAAATTCGAACGAAGGTATCCATATATTTGGCGTCCGGTGGACCGACCAATTCCTTGGCCTCCAACACAGTAACAATCAGCTCGACTCCCTCATCGGAAACGGTGTTTCTGCGACAGCATGCGGAAAAAGTATGCAAATGAATCCCTCTCAATAGGAAATCATGTAAATTTTCATCCATCAATGGCACACATAATTCCCAACACTGTTAATTGATTTGTCGGGCCAGTGGAAAAAAATATCTCATTATTCCGATTCAATGCTGTTTCTCTCTCTCACGCAATTATTTATACATAAATTAATCCTTTGTTCTGAATTTAATTTTCCTGAATAATATTTGTTACTGATGGGAGTATAGTTGAATAATAATAATATACAATTATAATTGCACAATTTTAATTGGATTTCGGGAAAAGCAATTGATATGTATCTTGAACTGTTCATTAAGGTCCCTATTTTGACGTGAAATGCTTTTAAATAAATCTGAGAATTTGTGAAGATATTCAGACGGCGCAATTTCTCAGTTACGCTGCTCTCCGAAACGTGACACCATTGTAAATACGACTTTCTCAAATAAATTTCCTTTAGAACTCTAAGCTGAGAATGAAAGACAACATACATTATATATGTACGTTCATAATTCAATAGGATCACTTGTTGATTCGTATTCTTTTATAATTGAAATACCCTCTACTATGAGCAGTAGCATTCACAGCCATTTATCTACAATCAAATGAGTATTCAAATCGAAAGATCCCAAATATTTACATTCGTCTCTAGGGAATTGCTTTCGTTCTCGCACAGAAAAAGGTGAAATTATAAATCGAGAGCTTTCGATGTCATCGAATGTATGAAGACCATGACACGAAAAGTTCTCCTCGAACTTTTATTTATGGCTTTTTTCATTATGTTAAGTACATAGAATGATAATAATGGGCTGTATATGTCATGTTTACGATATTATGGCATTATTGATTTATTTTTTGCACACCAGCGAGTCCCCTCGTGTATCTGAGAGACGGATGAGGTGAGAAGGGTTCATCGAATGAACGACAGTGCCGTCAAAGTGACTGAGAGGCTCTGGCGAGTGGGTGGGTGATAATGAAAGGTGGGAATGTGGTAGCCAGGATTTCAATGAGGCGTAATTGATTTTACTTTTGGTTCGAAGTTGTGCTCATGGCAGTGCCACGTTCTCCGTGCACTTGCCAATCCGCCCAGACATTGTAACATGGAGAAAAAAGCAACTAAAGCGAAAACAAAGAATAACCATGAGCCAAAGAAATTCAATTTATTCGCATCTCCCATTCCGCATTTCAGACTGATCTACACACTCTTGTTTTCAGAAGGAAAGAGATTGTGACAGAGAGAAACACAATTTGTTCATTTGATTTGCATTGACTCGAGAATATACGCAATAGGATATAAACTTTGGTATTTTGTTGAAATATAACATACACATAACACCAACAAGCGTTATGTAAAAATTATATGTAAATTAGGACTTTACTCACTTGTCATAGTGAAGTCCAATGCAGAGATATCCTGTAACAGGTGGCACCGTAGGTTCCTCCAAGTCGGCCAGCACCACAGAAGACTGCGACGAAACGGACTCACAAGAAACAGCACGGTATAGATTATCAGTGGACACTATAGTGCTCACTTCACTCTCTGCAATGGAGCTTTGGGAGCCGGATAAACTCCTCTTAGTCTTGTCAACTTTTGTGAGACCCCAAGCATTCTGCATGGCTCTAGCGGGGCGCATTCCAATAACCTGACCGGAATACTGCTGCAAGTAGTTCTCAGAAGCAGTCTTGTGTAGAACTGTCGAAGAGTCTGTGATGAAGGGATTGGTCGATTGGAGCTTCAAGTCCCCGTCAGAGTCGTGCTTCTTTCCAGAAGCTTCCGTTTCGGACAGAGATCGATTCCGCATTGTCGGATTCTTTTTCTTCGATGATTCTCTCACTTTATTCCAGTTCAATTCATTCTGTCGCCGAAGGAATTCCTCGTAATCCTGACGATGTTTCCTGTCGTCTAGCGTGACAGACTCCAATTTCTTGATGCTGCCCTCAGCCTCCAGGAGAGCATTTTTCACCGTCGTATTCTCCTCCTCCATCAGCAACAGCTCATTGATTTTCGTGGTGTCAAATGTAAAGATCTCAGATAAATGCGTCTCCTTTCCAGATATCTCCGTCTCTGGGTTTTTCCTCTCCTCAAATGGATTGATTGGTTCCAGCTCCTCCTTCACCGTCTGATTGTCTGCTGTATCATCCAGAGTACCATTTAAAAATGGATTGGTGCTCATGGACCTCTTCGCGCACCCTGTCTTGTGCATACTGCCAGGTACATTGAGGACTGGTGAGAATTGCGAGCCAGAAACTGGAGTGGACAATTGGCGTCGTGTCACTGGCCGAGGAATGGCCATTGCAGGAGACACCGTCTTTGGCTCCAAGCTATAATACACAATCCGAAATAAACACATTGGGATCTATTAGTCTGCTCTAATGAAATTAACCCTTTCAGGGCTACTGTTCTCTGCGAAAGTTTTAGGCATACACTGACCTTTTTTGCTTCACCGGTCGCGAATCGTTTTTGGGAGGTCGCTGATGGTGTGTGGTCTGAATTTTGGGAGAGATGATGGCTGATGGTGAGGTCGGTGCTGGCCTCAAAGGCTGCGGTGGAATATCATTAATAGGTATATTCCACAGTGGCACAGTATGTTGACCCTGTATCTCCTTACAATCCCGATCGACAGAATCGAATCGCTTAAAGCTCCCGGTCGACCCCACGAGAAATTCCGTGCTTGATTGTATCTGCGGAGAATTATGAGGCGCTGAGTGTTGCGCAAATTGTCATAAAGTAATGATGTGGCTCTCACCAAATATCCATTGGCGTTGTACAGTCGGTTTTTGGACAGACCAATTTTCTCCTCGCGATTGGAACGGATCCAAGCGGTGGCTCGTGGGCCAAAATAGTGGCACACGAACAGTGCCATTAAGAGGACAATGACCATTACAGCCAAACTGGTGACAATAGCCTGCAGAACATCCATATTGTGACCTCTTCTCGGACGTGATGTCTGTTCGCTTTCTCCCCTTCAATGTTCTTAGAAAAATTCCTACATGCGAAGATATATTGAATTTATTAGGGCAAAAAGTGAATTAATTTAATTCCAGATTGCATTCTAGGCACACACACACTCATAATTCAATAACGGCCTGCCGGCATGAGAGCACGCCTCAAGTGGCGTCGCGAGGGTGGGCACTTTCTTGGCGACAACGTGGTGAGAAATTAGGACAGTTTATTATGTGATTACGAGACATGTCGACGACTCTGAGATTCTCCCATTTGCACTATATGTATTTCCTCAATATACTACTCAGACTAGAGTACATCGAAAACGAAATTCCCAACCTATCAGACAGAGTCAATTAAATTATTTCTCAGTATTTTCACATAAAATCCTGACAGAGGAATAGTGATTTAAAGAGGAAAGAGATGTTAGTTTGAGATACATGCAATAAATCTAATAATTGCTCTCTGTTGCTTGCAATATGAAGGCTAACAGGGTGACTTTCCGCTGACAAAGCATTAATTGATTGAAAATAGCACGGATGAATTCACTCCTCCCTAACGCACAGCAGAATTGTTGGGAGAAAAGGGACATTCAGTGTGTGAAATTTAGATGATATCACAGAAATGAGAGGCTGTAATGAAAAAAGCCTCAGGGTCTTTTCTGTGGATCGTGCAGCATTAAAATGGAAAGCTTACTGCGAAGCTCTCCTTTGCCCTGTGTAGCTGTGTTGTGATGGAAAGTATCTCGAAACATGTCATGTATTAAAATACTCTTTTTCCACAGCATTTTTTCCGGAATGTGTAGGCGAACGAGGCGCCTTTTAGCATGCCAATCAAACATTGAATTCAGTGTTGCATTTATATTATAATGCTAAAAGCTTTCCCAGCACACATATCTTATTTACTACGAGACGTTGTGCGAATCTCGACTCATGTTTACTCGGCTTGACGGGTATGTTTAGAAAATTTTATGATACGAAAATGACTTTCATCTCTTTTATAATCATAAGTTGCATTATTTGCCTGTGGAATACGTGTTCAAGGAAATTTAATATGTTTAACAAAGCTTTTTTTCTTTAATACAATTACATTCTTTATTTCTGAAAAGCTCTTAAAAATTATCTATCATGCCATTTAATTTAAAGCTTACTTATGTAGTTTAAAAAAAGTGGGGTAAATTTTGAAAGTTGCTCTTTCACATAGGAAAGCTGTGGTGCATGCGGAATTTTGGCTACATCCATTACACTGCAGAATAATTTTCCAGATTTAATTAATATCAAATGCGGATTTTTCCCTCGTAGGATTATTATTTTAAACTGCATTTCGCGCAATTTGTTCAGATTTCACGAAATATCTCATACACTAAATACTTAAAAGTAAATAGAATTTGGAAGCAGTAAAAACCACAAATCTGTATTGCAAATTAAAGTTAATGTATGGATTGTGTCTATCAATAATTTTAATAAATTAAAATAAAAAATTTTGCTTGCTAACAAACTTTTCAAAACTATAAACAAACAGCAATATTAATTTTTTGTAGTAAAAAATTTCCTATTCACTCTCTATTTTCCAAGTGAAGTCCTGCAAAACTTGTGGTCATCATTAATTCATGGACAGTGGAAAGTCTTCAGAGGAAGTAAAGAAAATAACAAATGGATATGTTTGTAAAGACGTCGTAGGCAGAGATATTTTCAGACTGAAATCTACTTGACTATCTACCTATTCACATATGTTGATATATACACAAGAAAGCACAGTATAAAGTTATCATTATTGATTCAGATCCCGTCTGGAAAAATGCTCTGACATCCCATCGTCTCTCTCAATTTTCCATCTATCTTGGCACTATATGCTCTCACATTACATTATGTACAAAGGACTACGATTGAACCGTGAAAATAAAAGTGCGTAAAAAGTCGTAACAGTATATTGAACCCAAAATGGTCAATGCTGTTGTAGAAGATGTTAAGCATATGTAAATTTGTCTATAAGTGTTATTTTATGTCTGCTTTTCTTGTAATTTTCTATTTCACTCCCTCTCCTACCTTAATCAGTGCTGAAAGCTCCCATGGGGAAAGCTGGAACTGTGCACAACTTCCACTCAATGTCATTTCCTGTTGAACGTGTTTGTGTTAGTTTTCCCAGTAACAAATCACCTAAAATCAGGGTCATTCACTCGGTGAATATTAATCCAATAGTTGGAAGTCGGTTGATATGTTGATTTTACAAGAACAACCGAAGGAAAATCAAAGAGAACAACACAATAGATGTTGAAAGAAAATCTAATTCAATATTCACACGTGTTTCATTCACGCCCTCTCAAGTGAAACTACCAGCAATGAAAGATTATCACGACCGAACGAAGCTTTTCCCTTGGCTCTACTGGGAAAGAATTCCTCCAATACAAACAACATTTGCAGTCACGGGATATGTATGTTGTGACCACGCATGCGATTCTCCTACCTGAGCCTCAGAGCTTCTGCTGGATAAAGTTTCACCCTCGACACGCGTCCTTTCCGCTGAAAACAATCCAAGAGATGGAAATACTTGGGCGATTCTGCTGAATTTCCGACAGATGGAAGTCAAATCATAGTCAGTATAAAGTGGCAATTTATTGTTGTTCTTTTTTTTAATTTGATTTAATTTACATTGGTAAAATGACGTAAGTAATTGATAATTTGGATGTTTCATGGCATGGATCCAGTGTCATCTCAAGCCTTGGCGGCTTCAGCAGCAGGGGCTTCGGCAGCAGGCTCTTCACCCTCCTGAGGATGGATATTCGTAATTCAGAGCAATTCCAATATAATGCACACAAACTGTGTTTCGCATGCAGTTAATTCACAAACCAAAGCTCCTGAACTTTTACAGTATATAGCGAATATTTCAGGTACGTAGAAAGGTCGGAAAGTGCAAACCTACCAATTGGGTTAAAAGGAAAAGTACTGCACTATGGAAATTTTACGGTCTTTCCGGTCTTTCTTCGATGCTGAGTTTCAAAAGCATTTCCTCATTGTTTTCTAAATAGCAATTCTAAGCGTTTTTACTTTCCTGTAATTGTTTTGGAACTATCTAAAAACTTTGCTACAATTTTTCAATACTTTGTCATACATTTTATTGAAATAGAGAAGAAAAATCATCCAAAATGAATTGTGAGGAAGAAAAGAAAATGGATTTAGTCGCCGATTTTCATATATTTCAGTTGTTTTGAAATTTCGAATATCTCTTTTCCTTCCATATCAACTTTCATCATATACTTTTTGTGTTTTATTATATTTCATGACATTCAAAATGAAAATATAATATATTGTAACCTTATTACTTTTAATTAATTTTTGTTACAAGAGACAAAAAGAGAATTTTGCATGATAGTTATATTTTCAGAAGTGGGTGGAAAATTATGTATTTATAGTGATATTCATTCATGCTTCAACACCTTCGGCTTCCTCCTTTACCTTAGCGTCGCCTGGCTTGCCCTTCGACCAATCGGGTTTTTTCTGAAATGATTGCGTTTTCGAAATTCACGTTCTGACTCTCAAACAGACATGCTCCTGTGGACTCACCTCCTTCTCTTCCTCCTCGAGGGTGAACTCCTTCTTTTTGACAACTTTGAGCTGGTTGCGGAAGTTGAATTCGGCGGCCTTCTTTTGCAACTTGGCGAACTTGTTCTCGTACTTGGACACCTTCTTCAGCGTTGGCTTCACGCTGTAAAAATTAAAGGAAGTGTTAAGTTGGAATTCCATGTGAAAACGTGAGAGTCCTTTTGACGAAAAAATACTAACAATTTACCGCGGAGGTCATTGACTTGAGCATTGAGTTCGGAGATCTGTGGAGATTAGAGTAATTTTAGAGAGAAAAGTTCCTTGGAAGTCTCACAAGAATATTTTATACAATTATTAACAGAATGGAAACATTTAATTAGATCAACAGATAATTAAATTAGCAGCTTTCATTGTCCTAGAGCACGAAAAGGGAAAATAATAGAAGCTCGCTTGTGTACAAAAATGTGAAGCACAGAAAACTTATGGCACTCATGCAAAATGACACGGTTTGCAGAAATTGACGTCATATACACTACAGTTATCAACACAAGTGTTGAGTCACACGAAACACCTGAAGCTCTCACAATTATTATTTCACAGGTTAGAAGAAAAATGGGTTAAATTGAAGGAGAGACAGCCTGACTTTCTCATAGAATTATTCTCATATCATTTTCTAAAAACATTATTATATTAAGAAGGGATAGAAAGATAGAGAGTCTCAAACCCTTTCCACGGGGTGATTGCACATAGTTACTCTTGGACGATTTAACATTCTTTCTCAGGATATGGTTTTCGTTCCATTGTACAAGGGTAAAACACTTATTAAACTGTTTACTGCTTGGGATCTCTTCGCTTTTTGATTTTTTTTTAGATACATAGACTATCATAAATAGGAAAAAATTTTGCCATTATTCAAAATTATTGTATAGAGAAAAATAACGAAGGTACTGCACAGTATGGCACGTGTAGTTTTTGTGTACAGACACAAATAAAAATAATTCAATTTCATAACAAAAACCAAATTTGAGTTTTTCGGAAAAAAGGTCCTGTTCAGTGTTTTTGTGTAAAGCGCTCAATTTTATTCTTAATTAGAACTGTAGACAGACATTCATTGAATTTAAGACGGTTGTGTGCGTGTATTTTCTTTAAACTCTTCCACAAAAATTCTATAAACCTCTTTTTTGTTCAGATCGCTTATTATGAAAAAGAACAAAAAGTAAATTAAGTCATTCAAGTATAGTTATTAAAGCGTGAAGTGATAACTTGACATTAATCTTAATATTAAAATTATTATTATTATTCACTAAAAATAGAAGCAAAAATTATTTTTTTTTACAATCTTTTTCTGAGCATATGATGTGCCATACTGCTGAACGCGGATTGGAATCTCTTCAAAAACCAAAAGTGCACTTTTATTCAGATTCGTGGCTGCTGAATGTTGTATTTGAATCCTTTTCAGAAATCTACTTACATTCTTTACATATTTGCAAAATATTTAAAAATGGAAAAACTTACGGAATTCTTAAAACCAAAATCATGCCATTTTAGCTCTCGATCGAATTTGAGAGCCCCAATATTGAATTGAAAATTTGAAAACTGACATCAAAAGACACAGTGATAGAATTTATGTATTAGGTTAGGTGTGGAATAAATTAAAACATGTTGGCAAGAAATTAACTACATTTTACCAAAATTAAGAAAAAAACGAGGTATCAGAAAAAAACGCTTTGCAGTTTTTTCTATTTTTTTGATACCAGAACACAGAAAATATCACGTTCAATATGTTGAATAAATAGATGATAAAAATTGGAAATACGCAATGAACGTATAAACATTGTTGACAGAATTATTTACAAATAAGGACAAGAAACGAATTTTCATGGTAAAACTCAATGATTAAAATGATGGAGTTGTTGATAACGAAAGGCGCAACATAAATTATTAAGTGTGCGAATTTGCAAAATTTTATAGTTAGATAGAATATTTCGTTAATCTTTTCTAGTTGATCTTTACTCAAATGAATGGAGCGCTCTATTCAATCAGGATTCTCATTTTATTCACTGAACAAAAAAGTATGGTTTTTAAATTTTAATCATAGAAGTAAGAAAAAATAAAAAAAACGTAAAGAAAAATGGGTGGATTTATATATAATTAACAAAAGAAAAATATTTCCTTATATGGAAACATAAAAGAAAACAATATGGGTGGGTAGTAAATTTCAAGAAAGTTCTTTGGTGTGTCTTTTGCAGTACCTCCCAATCTCTTTTGCGCACTTCGAATTCCAGATCCCATTTCTGATCTTCACATAAATACATTCGGTTGAAATAATCTGTACAGATTTCCTTGAGGTCCTCTACGGAGTACAACAACAGAAAGTTACTATCAGAATTTTGTTTTGAACACAAAATTTTGGGTATTGTCATCTAACCAATCATAAGACGCGTCATCGAATTCTGTTTAACTTTGGGGTATAGATCCCAAAAAGTAATACTATCTTAGAGTGGTATTAAGAGATTTTGGCTAATTAATATCATCCCTTTTGCAGTGTCTTATTAAAGTAAAAAAAAAAGATAAAAAGTAAAAAAACGTAAACCAAAAATGTGCGAAGGATTTCACTTCATATCTCATTTTTTCATCGTCAAATACTATAACACTTCAATTATCAATACAAAGTTCATAAAGAAAATCCTTTTTGCTCACAGAAGTGGTGATAAAACGTCAAATTAGATGCGAAAATAAAAAGAAAGAAAATCGGATGCACAGCCACTTTTATATTGATTGTGGATAGCAAATTTGAGGTTACCTCAAGTTTTTTCTTGGCTTCTATAACTTCTAAATCATATTTGTCACCCTCCAAATTCTTTATCCGATTCCAATATTCCTGACAGATTGTTTGCAGTTCGGCTTCATGATTTTGCATAAGAAATATAATATTGCATTAAATTCTATTGCTTATAGAGACACTTATTGTACATCATAGATATAATTCTCCATCTCTAGTTGTCTCCCCTTTTGTACGCATTTATATAATAATCAGTCAATCCATTGCAAGTTTGTAATTGTGATGTCAGAAAACAACAGCAGTGGAGCGAAAGTTTTATCTCTAGCTGCAGTAACAAGGTCAGTCGCCATACCATTTGGTAAACCTATACCTCAGTCTAGCTACACGAAAATCTGCTACAGTACCTCTTTATTCACCCACAAAAATTGCAAAATATTATGTTCAAAAATAAGTACAGCCAAGAAGCGATCAACCAAAAAGTCAGCGTATGAATATTGAGTTACATCTGTGAGGCTGTACAAAATGTCAAAAATGTGAAAAATTGGCCATATAATTTTGAAATGATCTTCTGATATTATTAAACTTGCTGCTTTCGATGAGTATACAAAAATGATTGGGTAAAAAGTCAAAATCCTTGCCTCCATGTCCTTTCGAGACACTTCATATTCATAATCGTATTTCTGCTCTTCCAATCGATTAATACGCTCATGATATAGACGGCACTCCTTGGTAAGAACCTCTACATTGTAATACAAGCATTAGAAAAAAGTCTGTGATATAATAAGCATTTCAGATAGTAAATATTCCCTCAATTTCCCATTGAATTAAATGTCAAAAAATTCAAAAATAAGTCATGTAGCTCTCAAAGTATTTCAATTAGTGTTTAGTGGTCAATATAATTAAAAATTTTCAAAGATATAATTGTAAATATAGTAACATCTAAGTAAGGCAAAAATTGGCGTAGACGAGAGACACATTTGGCAACATCAAAAATACTGAAAACGGTACTCTTTGTAATTAGAAGTAATTAAGAAGAAAGAAAATTTTGAATATATTCTAGCATAGAAGAAAGAAGAATTGCTCAACAGCGACGGCACTCTAGACGAACAAATCACAAGAAATAATTAAGAAAAAAAGAAAATTTGCTTTCAAGAACAATACAATTGTCTATATTGTAGCCGATAGCAGTGATAGAGAGATTTAAGATAGAGTTGAGAAGGCAGTGAAATTGTTCAGTTGATGATACCTCAAAGTCCTTATATTTCACGACCAATTCGAAGTCGTACTTCTTATCCTCCAAACCACTAATTCTTTCGTGATATTGCTGACAAATCGATCTAAGGTTGTCTATTTGTACATGAATGATTCATATATAAATTAAAAGAACATAATAATTTGGAATGTAGTGTTTGTAAGAGAGAAAATTTTGAATATTGAGTAAATGGAGGGGGAGAAAGTCATATGGAATGGGATTAATTGGAAGAAAAAGTGCTCTGTACCTTCACTGGCATTGTCCAAGTCCTTTGGCCGGCCGCATCGCTCCTCAATGATGCGTCGGCGCTCGGCGGCTTTGCGCTCTTGCTCCTTCTTCAACTCCTCAGCGGCTTTCTTACGCAACAGCAACTGTAATTCGCCAGACACGTTATGGCATGACTCATCTTCGTTTAATTCTATGGTAACTCACGCGGAGCTTCTTCTTCCTCTCCGGAGTCATGAAACCCTTCTTGGCCTTCTTGGCTTTGGAGGCCTCCTCCATGCGCTTGCGCACTTCCGCGCGCTTGCGCTCGATTTCGGCCTGTTTGGCCTTCTTTGCCTGGCGAATACAACAAACATTATTAAAATACCTTACGTCTTGCAACATTCACATGCCACGAGAGAGTCTTCTCTCGTGGCGCTCATCTAGCCTAAAATAGATTCATAATCTTCCCACATCCTCTCTGATTCAGTACTAAGTTATACCTCCTCAATGCTCTGAGTCTGAAAAGAGACGAAAAAAGGAAGTTGAGTTAGAAAGAGCAGTAGTACACGGAGATTACAGTTATAGCAAAGGACGTCTACTACAAGACAGTACAAGACGAGGCCATGAAGCGGAATTTTACTACATAAAGGGAAAAGACTTTACCAATCAAATACAACAGGGTCTTGCACTGCATAAGATATACCGCTTGCTTAAATCAAAATTTAACTCCTCTGTAGACTTCAAAAACAACTCATAATTGCGTCACGATAATGGCAACCTGCAAAAATTTCACCGCTTTTCAGATCTTTCTAAAGATTTTACTTGGACACGCGCCAAGAAATAGCCCAACTCCCACGTTAACTACTGTCAGGCTTTCTTTTCAACATACAGTGAGAAAAAACTTGAATTCCTTTCGACGTTTGTCTAAAATTATCCATCAAAAATACGATAAATTCCCGCAAAATACTTTAGTTAGCCAGTACAACCTATGCAGTACATAAAAAAGTCAAATTTTAAGACATTTCAGAGAGAAGATAAGGAGTTGATACGCTTCACATGAAATCTAAAATAAAATCTCAGCACATTTTGCGACAGTATACAGAAAGCGTGTATTTGTGAGAAGATTATTGTATAAAACTGCATAATTTCATACTTAAATTGAAATTATGCACAAGCTTTCACACGTAGAAGCAGACAGAATAGCAACATGCAGAAGCTCCACACAAAAATAGATAAGACGATACCATTTTTCTGTAAATGGAACTTTTGATACTCACTAAAATGATCTTTTTTTTAATGTTTATATTTCAAAAATGTCATTAATGTCAAAGCATTTCTTTTATCGTCTCGCTTTTGTGCTTCTTATGATGATTTCCACTTCAAATTAATAGAGATTAGGTAATCTATTCTAAGTTGCTAAGTCTAATATTGCTAGAAAAAAATACTCTTTCAAAATCAAACTATTTTTCTAAGGTCAAAAAATTCTCTGATAGTTATTTAGCTATTTCTAATGAAAAAAAACTATATTAAATTTTCATATCTAACTAAATTGCGTTTGGAACACAATAAATGAAGCACTGTGGAAACGATAATTACCTATTTGAGAGAGCATCGAGGTTCCAACTTGTATGATCGACGTTTCCCATCTCATTACTGGCAGGTGATACATCCATTGACACAATGTGATTTCGTCGTATTTCGAAAATGAGAAATAAAAGATATTTAGATCGTTGCACTTTGATTACTGCACTTGCGATTGGAACAGCGATACTAACCTCACCTCATCATCAGCCATGGTTAAGGGGGTGATGAATTAAAAGCAAGAAGTACTGAAAAAAAAGAGAAAACGGCACTCAAGGATATGGAAATCTCAAATAATTTGCATGAGGTGGAAGGACAGAACGTCAAAAAATAGTTCACAATGTTCCTCGGCGTTTTTTTCTTCTCATCACGTCGAAAGAGTAAGAAATATTTTGAACAAGACAGAAATAGAATATCTTCACGCGCCGACCGACACCTAATTTGGACGCCGAGCGTTGTGCGAAAAATGATATCTGGTTACAAAACTTCCGAGAAGTTGGCTTAAATAAGTACGATCATCATTTGATTAATTTAAATTCAACTCATTGTACAATATTCCTCCTTTCTCAAACACTGATCCACTTTATCCTGCGGATATCACAGAAAATTCCTCAAAAGTCGCACTGCTGAAATGAATATCGAACATTATCCTTGAATGGTGATGACTCGTGTGCATTTAATTGGTTGCAAAATCTACATGGTGCAGAAAATGGAGAGATATTATTTCCGTTTTTCACCCATCACACGATATGGGTGCGGCACTTGGTTTATAAATAGCCTTTACATAATCCAGAGGGAGAGACTGAATCACTTGCAATCACTATTGAAATCTCCACTGTTAGACGGATGGTCTGTCCTTATCTCAGCACTCGATCATCTCCGTGCACCCGTATATTAAATATTTGTGATGATTAAATGCCCCGTGATGCACTCACCTCAAGAATAAATTTCTAAAAGGGAAAACCGCGATCAGACGAGCTAGACGGACTGATCTATCCGACGGTTTGCGGCTGACTGTATTCCACCGTTGAGGAGATCGTCAATGATCGCAGCCTCACGCATGATCCTCGCAGCTCTGGGCACCGCGCTAAAAATGGACCGCCAACAGAAATAGATCACCAATAAGTTTCTCTGCGCGCCACCGACTATTGTGGCACATAAACCAGCATTTTTCACTCGTTTCTCCCGCTGTAAGCGGATAACTTTCGCGGGTGGATATCCAGCATAACAAAATTTCCCTCGAGCATTTGTCATCCCACAATCATATCTGTCTGTCAGCACTGTTCCTGCAAGCACCAGATTTCACACATAAAATCTTGTGGTATTCGAGGGAGAGAACTTTTCACACCTTCCATGAAAGCAGACAATATATTCTAAGCAAATGTCCACAGGAAATAGTGTAAAAACCGCGAACTGTTTAATTTTTTTCAACTGAAAGTACATTCAATTTGTAATATTATACAATATTTACACATACTGAGGAAATAACGTAAGCAGTTCAACTTTGGTTACTTGCGACTCCTGACTCATCTGGAGAATAATAGTTGTGCATGAAAGTTGCTAATCTGTGCAGTGCAAAGATCAAACTGCATCGCTACCCAAATGTGTATAATACTCTTAATATCTCTACTAAAATTGATAAATAGCTACATATGTACATATTAAAGCCGAGAAGTATCAAAAATGTGATTACATTTCACGGTCTGCAACAACAAAAAAATCCTGGTTCTTAATATATTGTGCTAATTGGTAATAAATCACGTATTTTTAGCTTCTCAATATTTACGTGCAAAAATGCGAAATATAAACAAGATATAGAGAAAAGTGGGGCAGTTTTAGCCAGAATTTTTCCCATATAATCAATACAAACTCGCACTTTCTATTTGTTCATTAAAATTCATGCACAGATTTTTTTTGCAATGATTCGTCGTGCATTCTTATGGACAGTAAGTTTCTCTATCACTGTGTGCAGTTCCTCCGATTCATCAAATACAAAAGTATGGAGCATATTTCTAAAAATAGATTGCTAATTCTAACTTTTCTCTGGCTACCCAGAACTGCTGGCCTCTCGCGCTGGAGTCTATAGAGCCACAGAGTAGCTGTGAAAACCCACCCAGTCATCCTGTGGGAATCCGTACCACGTCAGAGCAAACGGTCTAGCCATGCGGGAGCAAGAGGCCAAACTGGCTCGCCATCTCTCTCTGGCCTGCGCTTGCACTCCGCATATTCTCAATCAAATCCACCTATACTGCCTCATGGCTCACCCATCGCACCCCATAGGACGCAATGACGTCATCGAGAGAATCCCTCTTGAGGGAAAGTAGGTCACCAACACAGAGAACCAAGGATCTTTCAATGGACCGTCAGCAATGAATGATTCCCATCCACTCCCGCTGCCGAAGCGCGCCCGCGGGGTGGCCAGGAAGCGCCTACCCTGAAGTTTCAGGCGCCACACATCCAGCCCAGAGAATGGACATGCTCCGCTGTCGAGGTCCTCGGCTACGAATGACACGCGTTTGGCTCTAGGACACGAAATTTAATAATTCCCACAGTGCGGGTGCCAAAAACAACGTGAGAATGGGCTTATCGACTGTGGCCGCAGCCTCACCTTCTGACAGCCACTTGGCATTGATATTGTGAATTGTGCACATTGCGAGCATCTTGCCAAAAAGTTTACTTTCAAATGTTGGAGTTCGACGCCTCTCATTTGCATCGCTCGCCATACACACTTTGCCAGTCAATCTCGCAATTCACGTCGATGTACATTTTCGTAGTGACGCACAGACTTCCTATTAGCCATGAACTAATTCTCAGTGACACTGTTGATGAACCTCATTGTTGTTGGCTGTAACGTAGTCAACCAAGTAACTATGTTGACGATACTATGTTGACAACGCTAAGAATAGAATCTTGAATCTAGTCAGCATTTTCGTGCCCTTCTGTTATTATTATCTATAATCACCCTCAGGTCTGATTGACTATGCTAACCTACCTGTACAAACTTTATTTTAACGCGAAAGCTATCAAATCTCAACGTTACTAAGCCTCGTTTACAGTTTTCTTACATATAATTGCTCTATAGTCTCACACTTTCAGTTCAGAATGACGGCAGCAGACGCAGCAGAGATAAAGAGTAATTTTTGGGGCAGAATTCATGTCAGACAACAAGGATAACTATTTGCAAAAATATGAGGAAGTATCGCGTAGGTACTTAGCAAACACACATACAGAATTATAATTCACAGACTATCTTACGTCATAAGTGGCCTACATTCGGCGAAAATGTATGAAAATGTGCAACACTGCCACCCTGCTGCCCCAATCCTCTTGCTCCCATTCACACAAACCCAGTCTCTCACCCCGTCCACGGATGACGATGGGAAGAAAGGGGGGATGGACGAGTGGAACGGGACACCACACTCTCTGATCCCCATCGCACCGGGAAATTGATGGGGTCTGGAAGGGGACGAGGATATAGATTTGCTGTATATAGGATAATACTTGTAAGGTACACAGAGCTCTCTCGGTCTCTCTCCTTCGCACACTCTAATGGATCCAACTCAGTTTTCCCACTGACCCAATTTTCGCGCTGGTGACGTCAAAGAGAACGATAAATGTATGCCTCTATAAACGGTATATGTAGCTGCTGGATGACTTTTGGAAGAGCGAACAAGGGAGGGAAGGCGACAGGGAAAGGGCATGAAAAATTACATTGTGCGAAGTGTGAAGGACGCTAGACTGAGTGGAAAAGACACATAATTATTGCAAAAATATTAAAAGGTTTTATGAATATATTACAGATTGATCATATCAAAACTTTGACATCCTGTGCTTAGATTGAACATCAGAGGATGTTGTATTAGTTTAAAAAGAATTATGCACATAATCAGTTTAATGTTAATTCTATGAAGCATCATCGTTTTTATTCTAAGTCCAGGTAAAATTTCAGTTAAAATTTCCGTTGAGAGTAAATGGCAATGATAGCATTACTTGTTGCAACGCGAAAGAACCAGAACCTGAGTTCGATGGGTTCCGCATGTACAAGAGAAACTGTGTCAAAGGGGTGACATTGGGTGGTTAGAATTCTCACACAGCGCCCGATTTTCGCATATTTCTGACTTTGCGCTAAAAATATTTCGCGTCATACACCATTCTCTCTCTCTCTCTCTCCAGAGAGCGAATCGCTTGATTTCCAGAGGACGAGAGAAGGCGCAGATACTGGGAGAGAGTTGAGTGAGCAAAACTGCGAGAGCAACATCCTTGCAATGATGAATACACTCACACACCAGGTCAAGAGGTCATCGAACTGCGAGGTCGATAAACTACCCTGAGCGCTTCCTTTTCCGGTGCAACTTTTCTCACATCCTTCAACGAAAAAAAATATCACCAATATTTTCCATAGTAACTATGAGTTTATAGAAAAAAAAATTTTTCACAGAAATAAGGCCAAATGAAGACTACCGAAAAATCCATCTATAGGAAAATTCTGTGAATCTGAATGACGTACACGCTCCTGGAAAACGTCAGAGAGAGAGAGAAATAAAATGTAGGATGCATAGAGAAATACACAATCCAGGTTGTAGATAAGTGATTTCCCTAATGGAATAATAGAAAATAATTTGCCACTTTTTAATTTCATCGTTCACAAGTAATTCTTATTAATACATCACTCTTTATGTTGAATTATCATTCGGCTTTCTCGCAATGTCGCAAAAGTGTGTCAAAGAAACGTGTTAGAATCACTACTGACGTAATGTTTGATTATAAAACTTGATGACGTAAAATGAACTCAAACGTATCTGTCTCCTCGCATTCAACGACTGAATGCAACATTTTGCAGCAAAAGAAGTTAATCCACAAATATAGCTAAATGTACAAGACTATAATGTTTGGCTTTTTCATCAAAATTTCTCCAAACTAAAATCTAAAATGAACTTACTAATTAAATGCCAGAGTAAATTTGTTTTATTGAAAAAAAGGCCTGGCGATTGAAGGTAAATTAGCGCCAGTGGATATCGGCCTTAAGAGTGAAACATCACGTTGGCAAACACTACCCCAAAAAGCGCCATCAATGGTAGAGATGAACGAGGGCAAAATTGAGGCAGAAAAGCGCGGATATGGGAAAACTGTGGCAATGTTCGGTTATGCTTTTATACGTCGAAATTCAAATCAATGTGACGACGTCACGACTTCGAGGCCAATCAGCGAGCGGATCCATTCAAAAACAGCGAAAATGACGCACATCTCCTGCCCCTCCGCCGCTCTCTTGGCCGAGATGCCAGAGTCCCTGAGAGAAGAAAAATCTCTCTCGCGTGGAAACTTGCCTGCGATGGACTCTCGCGGAGGGAAACACGATGCGCCTGTTCAGCAGGCAACTCCACAATCAGTTATGTTTCACGTGCGGACCAGGAAAGACGGGCCTCCAAGGAGAGATCTCGGGCTTGCCATCTGACTGTATCACAGAATTGACTAAGAAAGAAGACTTATGCTCGGTGATTAAGTGATTACATTGGTTTTCCCTCAAATTAGTTGCTTTTTATTTGATTAATCAGGCTCTGTAAATTTTCAAGTGCCAAATTTATACACAAACCATCCACTTGAAAAGCTCCACTTTCTGTGACAAGTGAGTGAACCTATTGACAGGCCGTCAGGTATTTAGATATGTTGCACGAACACGATTCATGCATTTCCTGCACTCTCATCAATTGTCACAGCAATTAGAAAAAAAAATGAATGTTTTTGGTGGAAAAATTAGGCACATATTCCATTCCGTAAATAAATCTCCTTCAACATCCAGTGCTGTGCCTATATATTCACTGCCACTCTTCAGTATAACCACTAACTTAGACGACGAGGTCGCACTGACGTCATTCCCGTTTTATGATCATCCCCATGCTCCAATTTCGGGGTGAATCGCTGGTGTATAAAGTGTGTCATGACGGTTAAAATGAAAGTCCAGTAAGATCATTTCCAGGAAAATTATTAAAAGATTGGGTTAAAAGAAGAGAGGTATTGTGACCTTTGACTGTACTCCCTCTGTTGTTTAGCCAATTTGGAAACAGAAGGTTAGTAGCAGAATTTGGCAATATTCTAAATTTATTTCAATTGGATTTAACAATGAGACTGACATTTACCATCTCCTACTCATATTCAGTATTTTTATTCAAAGAATGGTTTTTTTTTATTGAGTTTGAATGACGACACAAGACACAATTCAATGGATTAGATTGCCAGAAGAAATCACAGTTCTTGTGTTGAGTCAAGAACAGAAATGGTTCGATGAATTTATCCCATAATTTGAAAAATAAATATCACTTAATTCTTTTCATATCACAAAAATTGGTTTTGTAGTTTTAGATTAACTTTTGTTTCAACTCGAAGACTTATATTCTGTTTCTCCGTCTAACTTCAAATATGAATATGATTAATATTGAAATGATGAGCTCGGGAAACTCACAAGAATCCCTCATCCCGTAAGTCCAGGATGTTCCTTATGGATTTTTGCATGAGTTGAGTATGAATTGATATTTGGCGCATGGTGAGAAGAGAGCGCGAGAGAGAATGTGGAGCAATATACACAATGGGGCAGTAACCCGAACGACGTCATACTTGCTCCAATATAACCACACATTCGATGCTACACGTTCTCTCAGTGCCCCACTAACCTACAACCTCCCTCGGCATCTCAGAGCCTCTCGCGAGCTTCAATTCGTCTCGCTTCCACCCCTTTGCTTGTTTATGCGCCACAGCCGCTGAGCAGGACGAGCTTATCGTTGTCACTCCGAGGACATCGCTCTCACCATCCTTGCCACCCCCAACCCAAATCTAAAAATAGAACATCCCGTCGTTTGTGGAGCTGGAAATACATATATGTATATATTCAATCATATCACGAATACCTACATCTCTCTCTCTCGTGCGCTCCCTTTTGCCTCTCGCTCTGGAGCCTTCCGGGAGATACATGACGTCACTCGTGACGTACATCGGGATGAAATAGGGAACACTTTTCACTGGCTTTTTAGTTCTTTGTGATTCTTCGCCACAAAATACTAATTCCACATATAGTGTGCTCTGTTTCTTTAAGAATCCTTTCGAATGTTCTGCACTCACATTTGTATTCTCTAGTCACATTAATTTTTTTTATTTCTTCATTGAAAATGAAAACTTTCACAAGTTGTTTCTTCTCATGCCATGTTGCCAAAAAGTCTATTTCTGCTGCTTCACATGAAGTTCTATACCTAAAAATAGATCTTTTGACTCTTTCCGCATTCACAAATCCACCAATTCGCGACACTTTTCTGCGATGAGAGCGCATTTTGAGGAGAGATGCTGCAAAAGTGGGGAATCCAGGGAGAGCCAAGACATCTCCGAAGGGGTTCCTTTATTAATGAAAGATGAGAAGATTTCTTCTCAATTGAGCGGAGAGTGAGCCTGAATTGAGAGAGAATTCTGCGTGAATATGTGTGTCATTGATCATCTGAAGCGCTTGGATATTGCAGGAATATGTGTTAGTAGGTCATATGGATCCGCCCACATTTATGAATGACTCCCAGAGTCATTCATACTTGCGAGAGTCCCTGAAGATGCCTCGCACTTTTTCATACTTTCACTCCACTTTTTCCGTTCATTCGCATCACGCATCGCACTCTTTGACTCCTTATCTGCTTATTCCGAAAACTCCCCACTCCCGCAGGTGCATCAATTAAAATGCGATGAAATGTTAATTGCAGTGGAGACGCCTTGTGAGTACCATACCAGGCGTCCCCACTACACTTCTCCTCGAATCATTTGCACTTCCTTAAGCACATTCAAAAGCGGAACATGTTCCACCTTCGCCGACCCTCCGATAGTTCATTGACTCAATATAAGGCATTCATTATCGTTCGGTAATTGAATACCGTATTTCTGCATCGCGTTGACTAACATTGATTCTTCCCAAAGGTTCTTTTAGGGTGTCTGACTCGCTCAAAGGCTTCATCATTTGCTACTCATCCACTTCACAATTGAACAATATACGGCAGAATGCTTGTATGAAACTTTTCATAGAGAAAAGTGACTAAGAACATGTTTCTAAAAGTATACCATAGATCAATATTCGACAACACTGTAATTCAATTTATCTCTCACTTTAATTGATTATGATATTTAAATGTCAAAATACCTAGTCATAGGTCAGTGTTTTGCTACCCACTTATTTTTTGCATTCTCCCTGTCCTCATGAAGGGTGACTTTAGTTAAGCGACATTGAGACATGAGGCGAAGGAAGGTAATCTGTGAACACGTTGGTCGGGGATGGTGCGAGATTTAATATTTGATACGTCCATGAAGCCATATTCCGAGAGTTCTTCTAGGTGTGGGTGTAAATTGAGCTGTTTTCTCATGCCTTAATAATTATTCCTCGATTTTCAACAAAAATCTATTATATGTTTCCTGCAAATTTCCTTATCAGTCATATGGCGCAAGTGCATATCATTGACCATTTTATATAACAAATAATTCGTCTAATACTTTACCAGTGTGAATATGAAGCACTTTATCCTCACCTCAGTTTTATAGATGAAACAAGAAGCTAGAGTTTTCCAAGGATTCCCTTCAAGTGCCACAATACTTTGTTTGCATCTCTTTACTGGCTTCCATTGCAAGAAAACCGCCATTTTCACCGACTTTCCACCCCCAAAAGTACTATTGATGATATCAAGAAACAATACCTACCCAGTTATTCAAATTAATAATGTTGTAGAAAAACATATTTTTTAGCTTTAAATCGGGACTAACGGGGTATGATTAATTCAGCCAACTTTTCATTGAGGATTGCCTTCTGTGGGTGGAATACCCTACATGCAGGGCGCATCTCTTAAGGGAGAGGAACAACCATACAAGTATTTAAATCCCATCGATCCTCGCGCACTCTTCAATGCTTCAAATGGTCTCCGTCACATTGCTACAACACGGGTTATATGATATGCTTTCGAAGAGCGATGAGAGTCGAAAATCTACTGCAGGTTTTCCAAACATTGCATTTTTCTGTCATTTTGTACTATTGAAGCTTTAGTTTTATACATATGTGAATGGCCTAAGAGACCTTAGTCACATTACTCAGAATTACCATGTTATAGATTAGATTGCATTTGATTATTTAACATAATGACTAAATAGCAGGTGAGATTGACGAAGAAGGAATATCTCTTCTTCATTACATGGACTACATGTACGAACATAAATATTTCAGGTGAGAGACTTGGCCTCCTCGGCTGCCACTTGTCTCATCACCACCTCGTTCCTCGAGCACCACGAGCGGGTGGTTTAGTGTCACTCGCCGATATTCCCATTATAAAAGCCCTCGCCCTGCTCTAAATCTCCTCAGTATTGTTTCCGTCCACCGTCAGCTGCAAGGACTTGCTCCCCCGCGCGGAACGAGGAGCCACTTTCGAGGCATAAAATTGTGATTTCTCACAGTTTGAGTGTCCCACCAGACAATTACGGCGCGGAGAAAAGTGGCCGGAGGATTATTTTGTAGTTGAAAAAGTCGAAATTGTTGCGGTGGCTAATGCATAATTGAGCGTATTTGAAAGACACCCGCGGACTCGAGAAAGTTTCAAACAATTGGATCAGAACTGGCCGCCTTCCAATATTTCCCAGATACCCACCCAACTTACAATCATATGTGTGAATTTTTAATGCGCCACCCGTTGTACTCCAAGAACTGTGTGAGAAATGAAACGATTCACCATATGTGGACAGTGTGGCGTGTATTATTCAAAACTGGACAGCCGCAATTAATAATTTAAATACACTCCCGCCCATCCTCACTGGCACAGAGGACGATGCACAGAAAATAGTGCGTGAGCAGGACGTGTTTTCCTGATTTCTTCACGGGATTGAGTCCTTGGCATGAATGGTGGAAATTTCAAGTGAGTGGGAATTTTAATTGGCGTTGACAAAATTCCTGGAGAAAGCGGAAGAAAACATTCATAGAAAGAAGTCTAAGGAAGAAGAAAGGGGAGAATAAGGAAATGTGCAGATGTTTTATTGCTCTCTCACGCTCATTTTTCGTAAAATTACACTTTTCCAATCGCCTTTCCCACATTTCTCACGACTTATTTTTCAGTTTCATCGCTGCCTGTGCTTAAGAGCCCAATGCAGCTGCTGGCCACTGCACAAGATTAGAACATGAGACTCTTGTGCGTGTGACAGCGGCTATGGTGGGATTATCTTATTTTCATCAGACAAACACACTCAACAATTCTCCGCAGAACAATCGCCCTACCCTGTGGCAGTTGAGATTCAAACTCATACCATTTCATTTCAGGCATGCAAGTGTTGACTGGATAGCATGACAGTGCGTGTGAGTGTTGGAATGGGAAAACCAAAATAGAGACATTTTCGCGAAGAAACAGTGGAAAACAGCTGGAAAAATGCTACGGGAGAGTAGTATTTCGACGTGTCTCTTCATTGTCAACTTTTTCCTCGTAATCTCCGCCACGAATCACTGGTTACTGACGAAGGAGGGCAAAATCCAGGCACAGGTGAGTATTGAGGTTAGATGGTCTGACCATGGACTATTTTCTGAGGATTTCCCTTCTCCAGGTGGACTCACCGTACTTCCTGAGGCGCCCCGATGACCTCATTGCCTTCCTCAACCAGAGCAAGTATCAGCAGTTGGTGGATTCCCTGTACGCTGAACTGCTGCACATCAAGACTGACCTCCGGATGAAGATCAATCATGTGGACTCTTACACTGTGGACTTTATGTACCAGACCAAGTGCATCGTCCAGTACTTCCTGCAAGAGAGTGACTTGCTCAATTCCGTCACTACAAAGACGTATCTGAGTCGCTTGTATAAGCCTGACGTGGATTCCTTGACCTTCGTTGAGGGCGGAGTACCGAGATGTGGAAACTTTCTGCCCTTGCCGTTCTCCCTGCAGTGCTTTGAGCACCTCGATGGTATGCACAATCGGAAGAACTTGTCCATGAGCGTGGAGCAGACGCTGCTTCTGCTGGGACTGGAGCTCTCAAATCCCCATCTCGGGAACATGTTGGTAACGAAGCTTCGGAGAGATCCGTATGCCTGGAGGTACCACACATTGGCGTCCCTGTACTGGCGCTCCAAGGGAAATGCACAAGAGGCAATGGAGTGCGCTCGACGAGGTGTCTATCTGGCGCCCAGACACCTGAAAGACATAGCACTGCTCAGCATGGGCACGATTCTGCAGCGTTCGCGCAAACATGCGGATGCTGTGATCGTTCTCGCCGCGGCTGTTGATCATGCGCCAAGTGCGGAGAACCACATGGCTCTAGCCAACGCCTTAGTCCTTGTCTCGGAGTTCAATCGCTCCCTGGTGCATTACGAGGCGGCGCGAAGTCTAGACGGTTCGCTGTCGGACAAAGTGACACACATCCGCAACTCGATGGTGTGCTTCAAGTACATCAAGAAGCGGCTGCTGAAAATCGCCGCGATCCTCCAAGAGATGTCTGACAAGCTGAAGCTCTACGACGAGCGAAAGCACATGCTGGAGGAGTCTCTAGAGAAGCTGCTGCAAGAGCAAGCGCCACTGACATCGCGAGGTGATCAGCACCGTGATGAAGCGAGTGAACTGCATCAGCGCGGTCAGTACTGCTCAACGCGCTATCCAGCCGGCTCATCAGAGCCCGTGCTATTCTGCGACTTCGTGTCGGACATCCAGATGAAGCTGGAGACCGGGGATCTCAGCGTGGACCTCATTGTCACGTACCTCGAGCACGCTAATGAGCTGATTCACACGCATATGCGCACAATTGGCGTCTTCGAGCAGCTCAATGTGGACAACATTGGAGACGACGACATCGAAAGTCTGTTCAATGGCACCGAGCTCCTTCCGCCCAGCGATTCCCGGGCAGCCGCTCCGTAGCTTCTGCCGGATGATGTGCCATAGAGTCTCCCCTCGGCGCCTGTACATAATGTGCTCATTTGTGAAGGAACTGTGATGTCTCGCGGATGGATTCACACACATTCTCTATTTAAGTGTCTCGTGATTCCCCAGAGCTGTTCTCTTGGCGCCCCCAGAGAGCCATGAGGGCTTGAGGACTTGCAATAGTCTCTTCCCAGTCAGGCGTAAAATTATTAATACGGTGAAAGTCATTAGCAGATCAAGTTGGAAGTTTTATTTTAATTGTTAGCGACAGAGTTGATGCGTACGTAGATTATAGAGGAAATGTGATATGTTATGCATTATTTGGTCTTTTGTTCGTAGTTTCTAAATTGTTTCTAATTTAGTTTATCTATCTTATCTATGACAGTATAATGAGAAATTCTAATATTGGTCACTAAAAATCTCAACTTCTTCCAAAAATTAGAAAAATGTGATAAAAAAATATTGAAGAAAATATGCTGTGAGAGATCTTGAAAACCATTGAAAACTATGAAAATTGCATCATTATCTAGTAATTGCTTCAATATTCTCAACTCTGTCGACAAATTGCTAAATTAATTGCAATTTGTTATTGAAAATGTTACTTTAAGTCATGCCAAAAGCCATTTTCACTTGTTTCCTATGCGATAAAGGCGATATGGTTGAAAATATTGCAAATCTTCACCTGTAAATACATAATTAGCTCTCTGACGGCGAATATCTCTGCAGCTCTGTCCATTGAACTCATTTTAGTCCCCATTCATTTGCCCCCAAGACAACTGATATTTATGTGGGAGGATTGTTTAGAATGTTTTAGCCGTAATCCATATGTAATAAAAGTACAAATGTTCTAGCTATCAAACCTTTCTTAGTCTCATTCAACATATAATCTCAGCGGCAATTTCTATCTGTTTCGGTAACTCGCCAGCAGCACGGGAAGAAGCATCAATGGGAGCATCGTAAAGTGATTGAAAGTGCTTTGGGGTGCAGAATTGCACAGATCTCCTTGGCAGAAGCACATGAAGACCTTCTTGTGATTAAAGACTGTGTAGGCGCAGCGATCCTCAGAATCAGAAGGACCTCTTTGGACGCACATGCGTTGAGTCGCGACATCGTAATCTGCACGAGAAGAGAATGAGATCATCAATAAGAGTTTAAGGGAGTGAAATTCCTACAAACATCAAATTAAATTCTCAACAGTGTGACTCACCGTCTTCGCGAAAACTGCCTGTGCCCTCAATCACTTTGCCACACCAGCCGGAAGCGCAGGGCACGGCTGTGATGCCTCGCTCGTCTTCGATTTGTGTGGCATTAAACCGAAAAGGGTCTTTACAGCTGCCCAAATCGCCCCGAGATCTGCATTGATAGCACCGTCGCAGAATTCCTGATCGACAGAGCGAAAGAGAAATGTGATTTAGATACGAACTTGATGACCTTGCACCACCCATTCTGAGTCACATTTTCTCCAATTTCACAGCAATTTTCCTCCTCATACATTCTAAAAGACACTCAATATAGCCAAAAAGCCTTAAAAGTGGAGCTACAGGCAAAGAAAACTGTGTGAAAATGCGTGAAAATGGGAGCATGGTAGAGAGACTTGAACAAGCAATTAGAAGGGGAACCTGAGAACACTCCAAAAGGGCTTACCTTCCGCCACGTGTAATTGGAAAAGAACTATCACAGTAGATGTGGTAAAGATTAGACTGATAAATCTGCTCCTTAGCATTGTGGTGTCCTTAAAGATAATAAAATATAACAAATATGAAAGTATATCGTCAGAGAGCTGCTTTGGACTGTCAGAGATTTCACTACACTGGAAATTTTCTTGAGCTTCTACCCGGCTGGCATGGCTATCGAAGAATTCGAGCATTCAGCAAAATGTACAAGAAAACCTTGGTAAGAAATGTGGAGGGAGTATTTCTCAGCGCGCCTTCCATTCAAAGCCCCTCAATGTGTATTCGAACACTATGCTTTCTGATGTTTGCTCACAATTTATTTTAAAGTAATAAGCGTGATAAGATTAATTTTATGAATATAATAATTATCTAGATAGCCATGTATATATGCCTAGGATATCATTGTCTTATTAGTGGAGCAACTGAAGCATCTGAATTATGATGTTTCACGAACATATCCAGATAATCTAATGTAAAAGTTTCTTCTAATTGTAAGATTTTGCAATCACTTAACTTAAAAGTTTTAACTTCAAGTGTAATCATTCTTCTTTTTACCAGTTGAATGATAGAATAGTTAATGTTAGTGACATTCTTCCCCATAAATCATTGTAAATGTGAAAATCACTTCTGCAATGAACGAGACAAAACACATTGAATGCTAAAATTTGTTGTTATTACCGTGCATAACCAGTAGATGGCGCGAAATATGATTGGATTTCAAACTGCGATGACCAGTACTAAATTTGCTAATTTCCATAAAATGTTTAATATAAATTATTGCGCGTTTTGTAAACGTTACAGAAAGCATGACCTCTCAAACAGTATAAATCACCAAAATTCCTCTCAATAAATGATAAGAATTATTAGCAAAAAGAGAGCATCAACTGCATCAAACAAACAGCGATCTGAAAGTTAAATATCTGATCTCATCACTTCCTGGGCTATTATCATAATTATCATAGTTTAGTAATTTTCTAATGTTTAGTAAAACGACAAAAAATTATCGACAATCGAATAGAATTGCTAATTTAGGATCTACGCTCGTGAGCCTCGTTAGCAAATAATTCTCTTCTCAGATGAAGTGTTTTCTTTACGCTGCTCCTGTGATATCATCCTAAAAGGAGTGGCGCTCATCTCATCCCACAAGCGCTGTTCTACTGACTCTCGGGAAGATTCATGAGGTCTCATCGTGTGACGCACAGAGCGTGGCTGCCGCTTTACGCAATTATTGTTGCGAATGTCTGCCGAGGCAATGGCGGGAATTAAAGGCAGCGAGCATCGCTCGCGGATCAGTTAGTGTACAGCAGCTGGACAGAGTGGTTGAGCGTGGAGAATTGCTCTGAGTGAATGAAATTCGCATTTCGTGTGTGGGACTTTTCGCGCCAAAAATCACAGTGAATAGGGAAGACGCGCGCTGACTTCTTCCTAACGACAAGCATAAATATTAGAGAATATTGTGTGCCTAACTCTCGATTAATCTAAACTGAGGTAATTTTTCAGCCTAACTGCACCTTTGCAACGCACACAGATGCGTGAGCGCTTACGTATACAATAGCAAATAGGGTGTCATTGAGTGGTTGATCAATTAATTGAATATTGAGTGTGAGAGTTCGTCCAAAGAAGTGCGCCAGAGCACACAAGTATCATTGTTTGAATCAGATTGCTTCTCTCTATGGTCAGCAGTCAAACATTTTGTAACACCACGAGAGGCGGTGATCAGTTTTGAAAGAATTCATACACATTTGCGGCAGGGCCAGGAAGCGGGAGGAGCTGAAGTGTGGCCAAACATTGAGAAAGAACGCCATATGCATTTCATTGCGGATTTTTGTCTCACACCGCTTTGTGCATTTTGCAAGGAAGGGGAAATTAAAGTCTCTTATAATGTGGAAGTGATGAAACATCAATGACGAATGATAAATCAAATCGCCAACAAATTGCATTTATGTATATTTTTCTCATTAACACATAAGTTGTTTACAGTTGCATTTTGCAGAATATTGGTGTTAAATTGATGGTTTTCTTGATGTTAATGATAAGCCTATACATAATGTACATAAAAATTAAAACAATCCGTTCCTCTGTGTAAACTTAGAAAAATTTGACCATATTTATCAATTGAGTGCACTTATCAATTGATAGTCAAAAGAGTAAATAACGTAAAAAATGACCTTTCATCTTGAGACCCAATTTATGAGATTATAGAAAGAGTGATTTATGTGCTAAACAAATTGAGCTAGAAACGTTTGATCAAACTTATCAGTAAATAAGTCGCCTTATCGGTTGAAAAATAAATGAATTAGTAGAATAATAAGTAAAGAAGGCATGACCTTCCTTATGAGAGTGCGTCAGAATCTCAAGGAGAACGAAAATGGCAAAAGTAAAGAGATCTTCTGCAATAAATCGTTGACGACAAAGATTTACGTTACAGCACAGACAATACGCTTTATGTGATTAAAAATAGTGATTGCCATTTTCCGCTAGTGTCATTTTATCAGTTTTCACTCATGCAACATGCAATTCTATAGTTTTTCTTACTATTTGAACAACATGTAACAATTTTGGCATGCCAAGATAAAAGTATCCTGAGAATTTTTATCGATTGTAAAATATTTTTCAACAAACAATCATTTATGCGCGGCACTGACCTTTTTCCCATTATATTGCCACTTCTGCTATAAGCATATCTGCAATACACTTTATATCAAGGAATCCACACAATTATCATGCTATTCTCATGTGAATGCAATTTTTCAGACAGATTGTGCAATTTTTCTGTGAGAGAAGAGATAAATGAATCTTTTGTCTAGTGTTTGTAATTTTTAAACACTCTGACAATCACCAAAGCTTTCAAAAGTATCTTTGTTTTAAGTCGCCACATGTTCCGAGGCTATCAAAGGAATGATGGATTGAAGACCGTTGACGCTTCCTTTCACTGCAGTGCCAAAAAAAGATTTGCATTAGCAGCATTTTGCCCAAGATTTTACCTTGGACATAATATATATTTACGATTCTCTCGCTAGAAATTAACAAATTATGCCAGTATTGATTTCATGGTTTCATTATTAACACAATAGAAGAAACATGTTTAGATACGCCCAGAAAAACCAACATTTTTTAGTCATGTCTTAGAAATTGAACAAAGTCTTAAGATTTATTCTTATTCATATACAATGAAGAGATATGCCTAAGATTCCCACACTTCAGGGTTGCAGACTACCCTAAAAATCATACACATTTAACCTAATTTGGTTAATTGAAGTCACGAAAAAGCTCAAAACTATAAACAAGAAGGGAAACCGACACAATAAACCTTGGAATAGCCTCAAAAATCTCATGTGATCCCTTTTAAAAGCGTTGCTCTCAGATATTCTTTGCAGCTTAATGCATTGTTCAGTGCAGGTTCAGAGCAAAAGACATTTTCAAGGCGAATTGGTTTCTGGGAAGGCGCAAAAAAAAGATCAATTGCCTTCCTCTATGAATGAGCAGAAAAGCGATGAGATAAATGGTGGTATTTTTGCGATATAGCACGTTTTTTCCCATCATACGTGTATATGTTGTAACTTTTGTCGCATGAGGTCTGCTCAATGCGCTCAATGTGTAGTTTCTTGACATTGCGCTGCTGCGTAGATCTTCACATGTACAAGAGCGCGCATACAAAAGGGCACTTCTTATTGAACCACTTGAAAGTCATCGTCATTATTCAAGTTCATTATCAGAAAAAGAGCTAAATAGACACGTGCGAGGCAGGCGAATTGTTGTGCTAATGTTGAGATTTTTATGGTGACTTTAGGAAGTCAATCAATCCTTTCCCGGATAACTGACAGATTGAAATGATAGGAATTGAAGCTGAAAAATAGCAAAAAATATGGGTAACAAAAGTTTAGTTATTTGTGCACATGACGATTATCATGAATGAATGTATGAGCATGGTTATTTAATATCATATGAAATATTCCATAATTTTGCCATTAAATGACCACAAGTTGTTGGTCATTCAGATTTCCACCGCCCATAGAAAAGAAATGAGCCCAGACACTCATTTCACAAGAATATCTTGAGAAAGAGAGTCAATTAGCAATTTTTATGAAAGACTTTGAATTTTCCTCGTGTTTAATTTATACCAACAGCTTTTAGAGAGAAATCAAATACCAAACATTAAGGGAAATTTATCACAAAGCAAAAGTGAGCTTTCAAAAATACGCACTTTTTTTTCAAAAAAATAGTGGGATTGTGACGACAAAAAATTGGAAGTGAAATTAAAAATCAATAGGCATTATGTTGATTTATAATCTTTCTCCATAAAGCACAAAAATGAGTGTTAAAGTGGATCGTAAAATTTCGTGCTGAAAAACTTGACAATATTATCACGATGATTTAGTGCGAACGTGAACTTTAATTTTGCTATAAAATTGATAAAAAGCGTTCATTGGCTACTGAAGCAGGAAAAAAGAAGTCTTGTATGAATCACAATCATAAATCATTTAACACAAGTCAGGTCAAGGAGATTTATTATCGAATAAGCACTCTTTTCATCCGCTCTATTATTGAATAATTGATAGTAATGCAAGGCATATTTCAAGCAAAATCAATTGCATTTGTCTCTTGTTCGTCCATATTCGCTTTCACTCCGAAAATCCGTTGACAAAATATCATCAGATCATGCATATTAATTTCACATTACAATAATTTTTGAGCGTAACAATCGAGTTGGAAGAATCAAAATCGTATGCGATTAAATAATGTGCGTCTCTCTGGCAACATTGAAGAGAAGCATATAAAAGAGACACGCGAAGAGGAATTAGCATTTTTCTCTAATAGATTTTTGTTATTATCATGATTTTTCAATGTTGTGCGTTTTCTCTCTTCTTTTGGTGTTGTGGTAATATCAAAAATTTCCTAATAAACTGATGACGATCCCTGTAAAAAGGGCGACTTTTACACCAATCGACTTAGCCTCATTTGCGATACACAATTTTTCGGTCATAACAGAGAGACTTTTGCACATGATCTTGAAATTATGAACATAAAAAAGCTCATTGTCACTGCAAAAATTTCTTCTTTCATGCGTGAAAAGGTCTAAAAAATCTACAGGTTCACCATAAAAGGTCAAAACCCACCCACGATTTTTTTTTTACTTCACATTTCGATAAATGTGGGAAATTATGCAAGAAATTGTGCCCAAAATGGGGAAAATTGATAGGAAAAGATGATCCGGTGTTTTAACGCACTGGCAATAAATACTCTTCAATGCAAAAGGTCAGTAAACAGACATGAAATCTCTGTGGAAATATCCAATTATAATGGTAATTGCGAGGATTTCCTTGAGATAATTTCACTCCATAGTCTGAATGATTGCGGAAACGTGCCAGCAAGTAGGCGTCTTCCGAAATTCCTCAATGCTCTCCACTCTCAATCATTACCAAAAACAATCGAGATAAAACACAAATTTTGCAACATTTTGCACAAGGTTTGATACTATTTATTCGATTAATTCGCATTTTGAGGCGTTGTCTCCTATCAATTCATCTCTTCGAATTTTAAACAAATTTTCCGCAAATGTCTTTCGCAAAAATTTCAATGCCGTGCACAAAATGTTTAATTATATATTTTCAAAAGATAAATGAGACACTTTGCCATTGGGAAATAGGCATAAGTTTTGACTATTTTTCTAATATATTTGATATGGTGCAACATAATGTTTGTCACATCTTTTTGATAAAAGTTGACATTGTAAGAGTGTTTTATTTGGTATTTATACTGAAATTCTTACAGACGAAAAAAGTGCCTTTGATCACGACCAATGTATTTTAGTGTGTTGCAATAGTTGCACTCCAAATTGAGAAGCTTTCAAAACTCTGTCATACTTACATACATACATACATTATGCATTTGTGCTGCTTCTGAGCGAAATTTTACGTTGTGCAATAGCTCTGCAATAGTGAGAACATTCTCAATTTCAGTGGGAAAATCATGGAAAATGTAGAACAAAATTTACGGTATTTTCTGCGTTCAAGGCAAGTCACTTTTCTGCACTTTTTGTGACACACGAGATGTAGGTTTTCTTCTCCTCAAACTACACCTTGCTTGGCCACAAGCACTGCACTGTGTTGAGCCTTGACTGTGCTTTTAAAATGTGCAATTGCTACTCAAATGGAGTATTTCTTGACCTAGAATTATGTCGCGGTTAATCTCTTCAATAGCTTTCTTGGCTCTGGCTCTGAAAACACTGTTATTAAGACATTCTACAAGAACGCTATTTAGTCACTCAATTATCGAGTTTTGCGTAATTTCTGCCGATGAATTTAATACCAAGTAATTTGAAACTTATTTTGAGACACTCGCACGTCAAAGAATACGTTAGCGTGTTATTTGTGCTCTGAAAGATGTTTGAATCATATTTTAGAAGACAATATACTGAAGAATAATTTAATATTAATAATAACTTACCATTCTCATTTTCCAGTGAACTTCCGATCAGTACAAAATGCCAGCAGTTGAAGTGGCTCACATTTTGGACCTAAATCCAGAGTTGCCGGAGAAAATCAAAGAAGTGGCCTATCGCCAGGGCGAGGATTCAGACAAAGTGTGCACCTATCTTCAGGAGTTCAGAGACTTAATTTATGGTTAGAGAAAATATTTAAGGATCAGTCCAAAGCCCTGAAACACTCATGGTTTTTAAATGATTTGCAGAGAAAGGCACTTGCACTCCACATCGCACAGATGACGAATATCTGTTGAGATTCCTACGCGCGCGATTTTTCCGTGTGGATAATGCGTACAAATTGGTGAGTAAATTTCACTCAATCGTGAACTTCAAATGCGAGAGACATGCAGAATTAATCGAGCAATAAATTAATTGAAGCCTGAAATAAACTTGCGACAAATGAGTAATAAGAATTTCATAAAGACATTGAAAATGTTTAATTATTGCTGTTACACATTCTCTAAATGCATTTCATTTGTAACGTTTTTTATGATTCCCTCGAAGAAGCGTTCACTAGAAAATGAGGAAAAGAGTAACGAGCAATTTTGCAATACACCTTTGTATGCAATTCGAGTATTGGCATACAAACATTCATGGACGCAATGGATGCTTTTACCATTGCAAGAATGTTAACTTCTCTCTCTCCTCGCCAGCTCTGCCGCTACTATGCCTTCCGAGAGCAGCACACAGAATTGTACTCCTCTGTTCGTCCCATGACGCTGCGTCCCATCGGTGAGGACGACATCGTATCCGTGACGCCATACCGAGATCAGAACGGCCGGCGCCTGATGTTCTACAAAGTCGGCAACTGGAAGCCCTCCAAAATCCCGTTGGACGACTTGTTTCGCGCCACGCTCATCATCCTGGAGATTGGCGCCATGGAGCCGCAGACGCAGGTGGTGGGCGGCGTGGGTGTCTTCGACTTGGAGGGCCTCACGCTCAATCACTGCTGGCACATGAGTCCCTCCGTGGCACAGAAGATGATCGCCCTCATGGTGACTTGTATGCCGGTCAGAACGACGTCCATCCACATCGTGAATCAGAGTTGGGCCTTTGACGCGGTTTTCCAAGTGAGTAATCATCATTGTGGGGTTTAAGAGGAGTTTTTAAAACAGTACAAATTTCCCATTTGCAGGTATTCAAGCCATTCCTGAACGAGAACATGAAGGAGAAGATCTTCATTCACGGGAACGACATGTCTTCTCTGCACAAGCACATCTTGCCAGCTCACCTGCCTGAGCGTTACGGTGGGAAAATGGCTGAGTACAACTACAACACTTGGTTGGACAGCCTCAAAGTCAACGATAAGGTGCTCAAGGAGCTTGTGCAGCTCGGCTACAATATCCCGACTGAGGATTTGGCGTGACAACCTCAGAATTTAAACGTGCGATAGGAAACATATTCCAAAAACTAGCCTCGGTTCTCGGGGCTCTAATTGTGCAGTAGATTTTCTTTAGTCACAATGATTTGCTTTAAGCAATTCCACTGCATAACCTTCGTGACATGAATACAATTAATGGCAACATGAGAATTTGCAAGGGAACAATAGCGATTGGGAAATCTCAGGTCCAAGAGTGTTTATTTCTTCAATAAATATGATTTCTCCTCTAACATTCTTATTTTTCTGCTATTCCTGATCTAAAGATTAGCTGCAATCCTCGTAGTTTTGGGGCAATTAGTCTCTTGCTATGGAATGAAAACACAAAAGAGCTGCTGAATGTGTGTGTTACAGAACTTTTTTATTGTAATTTTTAATCTTTTTATCTTATATATCTTCATAATGTATATATAACATTCATAGTTCTAATTGATTTTTTACATTCTTTTATTAATTTAAATTTTTTTTAATCATATTTATAAGTGTTTAAAAACCCGAAATAAGAACAAATCACCGTCATAAATATGTGTTGTGTGTTTCTTATCATTTTTTACTGAATTACTTTTTATACATTATTCGTAGAATTTGATCTCATCTTTAAATTATCTCTCCTTTTTTACATTCTATTCCTTTCTCACTTCATTTCATAAAATTCTACCTCTATCTTATTCGTACTCACTTTTTTTTATTCCGTTTTCTATGACTTTTGATTTTTTCATCTTTTTCTTTTACATTTTTCTCGATTTTCTTTTTCACACTTTTTCTACTCATGCCACTTATTATTTACGTGTTTCAGTTTCTTAGATTTATACTTATTTACACAGATTTTTACTCATTTTTCCTTTCTCTCTGTAATTGATTAACGATATTACATTTATTTAGGATTAAGTTATACAATATTTCATCTGACTCTTTAATATTAATATTACTTCTTTATCATAATAATTATATTTTGTTTATAAAAAAGAAACGCTAAAGTCATAGTCTTTTGGGTACTTTCATTTACTCATCTTCTGATTTTTTTTTTGTAATAATCTTCACTGCACAATTTGCTCCACGCGATAAAGAAATTTGTCGAGTTTTCAGAGGAGAAAATCCAGATAATTCTTCTTTAAAGTTTGTGGGAAAAATATTTTTTTTTTAATGTTAAGCAATAATTTTTTTCTTCAAAATTTTCCTGTTCGCAATCTTTTCTACACAAGAAATACGACAAATTTCTCATTTTATCATTACACTTAATGTTTATGCTCAGTTTCTTTTTCTACGTAAAGTAAAACAAGTGCTCTAAGAAAAATACAAGATGAAAAAAGTTCTACTTTTTACTTCTTGATTTGCTGGCAGGTTTTCCCTGGAAGAAAAAATGACATGATTTGCCTTTGAGAAGGGTATAGAAATGATATTTTTTCCGCTTATTAACGTTTTTTCTCTAATTCTTGACGCGAAGCTTGTCAATTTATAATTTGAACACACTGTTGTATTTTCTCTTCAATGACATTTTACATTACACATTACATAAAAATCTTAAAAAGTCTGATGAAAGGAGAAAAGTTCATTTCTGATTTATCTTTAATACTAGTGTTTTTTTCTTGTTTTGTTATATTCCTAAAATTTTCACATTTTTTTTATCTTCTTTTAACTTTATCGGGTTTTGTATCTTCATTATTCATTGATACTCTTTCTCTCATCGTCAAAAATTGTGACATCAATGCTCTAAAAACTACAGTTTCCTCTTCATTTTCTTGTGTAATATGTATATGTATTTCTTTACATTTTGAACTTATTAGATCTCGATGGACACTATGAAATAATTCTTATCATTTTAATATAGTCCCTCTTCTCATTGTATTTTCTGTTATATAAATTACTCTCTAGGCTCCTAAATCTACGCTTTTTACAATGAAATATTCTTATGGCCCCGACACGGCCACCGATCTATACCCGGAAAGATCACTTCACAGTTCGCGGACTATGAAATGCCTCAAATATCTTGACATTGTGGAAAGAGTTTACATCGCATTCACTTTTCCCCACAGAACCTCCCCTAAAAATCCTGGGCTTGTTGGCCCGCATTCGCTAAACCGGGTAAAATATCCCAAGACTGTCGCTTCTGCCATGAAGACATTTAATTTGTACAGGGTTATCCAGAGATTGTGTATCACTCAAAGGGAGTTTCATGACAAATTTGAGTCAATCAATGCCTAAAATACTTGGAAATCTGAAATATCGTACGAATTAATCCAACTTATAACGACCAGGGACAAGAAACTCTTCTATAACATCAGCAAAACCACGTGTCGGGGCGCTTCAGCAAGATCTTCACTCTTTCTCACTTCTTTCAATCTGCTCTTCATCTCTTCAATAAATCTTTTTGTCACTTTTCTTTTCTTTCTCTAAATTTTGCGTAGTTTACATTTGTTTTTTGCCAACTTGAGCTTCAAATATACACTAAAATATTTCCATTTGACTAAAGCAATTCTGTTTCTTCGAAAAATAACATATCAATTGAGAGAATTTTACAAGCAGAAAGAAGCAAAATAAGTTCTTCTTTTATTGTTTGTGTTTATTTAAAATACAAAAAGAAAACAGTAGTTCACTTAGAAAAAAACTACACTAGGCAACACTCGATCTTGCAAATTATCATTTCATTGCGCAACTTGAGAATAATTTCGATAATTGTCAATCCAGAATTTTGCACAAAAATCCAACATTTAGCTTTTGCTTCAGAACTCATTTGTAAAAAGAAAAGAATTATAATTTTGAAGAAAAGAAATCAAACGATTTGTATACTTAGCTAGCTTTTAAATCTATTTCATGCGTCTCTTAAGACATTATATGTATTCCAATCCTAAATAAACTCCCTAAAAAGGAAGGGAAGAAAAATCGTCACGAAGATAATTTTCTACATCTAAAATATGCGTGTTATGTCTTTTGAGCTTTTAACTACATTCAGCATGAAATTTAATTTACGTTCCACTTTTCCCCTCCGAAGAAAACATCAGGAAACTTCCCCATGTTGCCTAGTGTCACACTCACTAATCTCTTTTACAAAGGTTGATTTTGTAATAATGCAGATGTGATTACAGTTAAGTAGAGTTGGAGGTGTGAAAACAGGACACATTTCTCTTCAAGTGTGTGAATTGCATGTGGAAATGAAACACTATCAAACTCCTAAAAACTCTCCCATTCACCTGACACGCGTCGTTTAAAAGGCAATGGCACAGAAAATGCGTGGATTTCGTCGCACTACAGCATCATGTGGAGTGGGAGAGAAACGTGAGGACACGAGACAAACAGCGGACTGGAATAGGGCATCTCGATGGCGGCGCTTAGAGACAGAATGCGTTCAATCATTTGTTCATGGCGGCCACTGATGGCGCGGCGGCGATGTCTTGTGCGCTAACGGACGCTGTGGCGTTTGTCACGCTCTCCACCGCCGCCGTCTGTGCGGCTGAGGTGGTCGCGGCGTTGTAGTCTAGCTTGTAAATTGCCCCGCGCGTCGCGTCCTCCATTGAGGACTCCTGACAGTTAGTGCCGGTGTGGAGCTGCGAGCCGCAGTTGAAGCAGGAGAGCACCATTTTTGTGCTGGGATACGTCTGGACGAAGTGTTGCGTCTGTGCGGGCTGCAGCGACGGCGAGGAGCGAATGGCGGTCTGACTAGCCACGTTGCTCGCCGGCGGCGGATTGATCAGGGCGATCGGCGCCGCGGTCGGCGTGTACGCCGGATAGAGGAACTCGCCGTTGGGCTGCAGCTGGTACGGATGGCGGAAGCTGCTCGTCGTGGTGGCGGTCGTGGGCGACGTGATCTGCTGCGGCGCCATCAGCGGCGGCGGCTGCCGAAATGTGGGGTAAGTCGTTTGAAACGCCGGCTGACTCATCAACACCATATTGCCGGCGGTGCTGCCTGCCGGCGCCACACACAACTCCACATTGGCGAACGTCACCGGCTGCGACGGACTGGCAATTGCGGCGGGCGGCGTGTAAATGTGCAACTTGTCCGGACGGAGGCGTGACGCAGATGCCACGGTGACAATGGCCGACGGCGTCTCCGGCGGCGACAAGTCGCCCGCCGAGCCAGCCGAACTGCCCGAATCACTGCCGCCCGACTTAACCTGGTGGTGAACATTATCAAATGCCATATTATTGAGCGCGTACGCCAATCCGGTTGGATTTGGTGCAAAGTTACTTGACTGATGGTGGTTCTGGTGCGTACTTTGCGCTTGCTGATGCCCATAACTACCACCAGACCCTTTCGCTGCCTGGCGCTGAATCGTGTGCGCCGGCCGCGTATAGCCATTGCGGCAGATGGTTTGCAATTGGCTTAGCGCACCATCCACAGTCAGCATCATCTGAAACGGCGAACGTGAGAGGATACAAGATAATACCATGAGCAAACCCACTGAAAACCACTGCAAATTCGCCAACATAAACCTACAACTAGCCAGAGAAAAACTATTCATCGAAGATTTTACCCAGATCGTGGTTTTGCCGATGTTGTCAGGGTGTTAGTTTCCATTCTCGTCTCTGTCCGTAATAACATGGATCAATCCACAAACTTGCGCCTACACATTCGCTTCTATCTCAGGCACTGACTGACTTCAATTTCAATCCAGATGTGATTTCAGGACAGAGACCTCTTGTCTTGTATTTTATCAACAATTTCAGGAAGGAAGTAACATAAAATATATGCTAAATAAACCGCTCATTTCTATTCTTCATTACCTCTTAATGTTAAATATGTATAATACTAACTATAAAGAGAATTTTTTTCTAGACACTGTGCGTAATATCGCGTTAATGAATTGTAAAAAAAAGCTTGTCTGTTCGCCCTACGTTCGATTCCTCCTATACCTTTTTAACCAATTTTACGAGTGCAACGTAGGATAAATTGTGTAATCAGGAGTAAAAATTCCCACATTTCCCCGATTAGCAACCCTTTTGTCCCCAATCCAGGATCAATTTGAAGGAAAATTGATAATCTTACATCAAGATATCACAATATTTATGTAACCGAAATAGAAACAAAGGGAATTTCCAAGAGTACTCATCGGAATTTAAGTTGATTTTGATGAATCAAAGATTCTCCCACACAAAAATAAGTATAAATTAGTCTTAGAAGATGTAAAGGACTCGTTTACAGTAACTTCAGATTTCGTATTTTGTCCTGAAACGCCTTAGAAAAGTTGGAGAAGTCATTTGTGTGCATTCAGTGATCTCACTAACTTTTAGATGAGCAATTAATTGCAGACGTTTGGACAGAATCTCAATCAAGGATTCATAATTCCTAACCTTGAGACGATTTCATTTCTCGGTTGTTAGTTTAATACCACAACTGAGGCATACATAGAACAGTAAACTTGGTGTTTTAGTATTTTAAATAATGAAGGATCGATCGAGTTATTGAAATTCCTGGCAAAATCCTTGACAGTATTTAAAAGAAACTCCTTTTTGAATGATTGAATGTGTGAAATCCTGCAATTCCCCGTTGCACAATTTATACTCTGCACTCTTCTACTCAGCATCCAAAGCGGGTAGAAAGTCTTATTAGTGAGTGATTCACTCAAAATGCATCCATCTATATCTACCCGGTGGTGGGGGCGTAGGTCAAAAGGGGAGGAAAAGTCTCAATCAGTCACTTACTTCTTCGAAATTCTTGTGGTTCTGCTGCTGCACCAGGATGTCACTGCCCAGAATGTAGTTCAACGGCGCCTGCATGGGCGGCGGCGGTGGCGTCGTCTCCACCGACGGACGCCGGCTCACCCTTCGTTGCTGCTGTCCCTGCTGCTGAGTCCCCCTCAGGTGGCTCTGTGGCTGCGCCAAATTGGTCCCGTGTCCGCCACTCCCGCCCTGGCCAGTTCGCGTTGGACTCGCACTTCGGCTCGCGCTGGGCGAGGACGGCTGGCTCAGGTGCGGCGACGTTGACTGTGTGGCTTGCGTGGCGTGCAGGGAGATGGAGTCGAGCGGAGCGTTCTGTACAGCCGGAGCCGCCAGATTGCCGCCGTGCCGCATTGTCCAGTGAACCGTGGTCGGCGGACCCACGGTGAAGTCGTGCGTGGGGATCGTGATGCCAGGCGGCAACTGCATCATCGGATCAATTAAGGGGGCGCCCAGCTGAGCCTCCGCCGCTGGTATTATCTGCAGAGAGCAAAAGACAGTTCAGTTAATGACTTTCGCAGAGAAGGACTGACTAATACTGCAGAGAAATTGAAGCTTAATGAGACTCATCAAAGTATTACATTGTTATTTAACCCTTTAGGGCGCGACAGTCGAAGAATTTTCATTTTGAACTCAACATTTCCGCAAAAATCCGATTGTTTTATTTTCACATTGAGCAGAAGGAATAAAATCATTTCATATCAAATTGTTCACTGAGAAACTTTACGACCGCAAAAAGTTAAATATTCTCAACCGCAATTTGGACAGTATTCTCAAATTCTGAATTTCATTAAATATCCGAAGAAGCAATATGATAAAAATAGGTTGTTCATAATTGATCTATTCTGTGGACTCTTTCACTTTCTGCCAATAGCACCGAAGCATTGAAATATTACGATTGCACGCAACTTTTTTGCTACTCTCTTTTGACTGTAATATCGGTAATATCAGTTGGAAATTTCGCTTTTCAGCACGAAAACCACGGAAGGTGAGATAATGTTTTTTTTTCTCCAGTTAAACCTTAAGAACAATGCAATTGATTAGTTTCATTCCTATGGAGTTTGATTCTATTCTACACTCGGAAAAAAAGAAGAGTTATTAAAACATGATTGGGAATTTTTAAACCGAGTTTCATGTTAGCCATATTTTTTCCTATTTAATCACAATAGCGTCTTAGTTTCACTCCTACTTTCCTCTCAGTGAACAACTCGACAGTTAGTATAAATTTCGTTCAGATATGATTGCCCTGAGACCTTCTGCAAGCTTATCAGCAGGAATTTGATAAAAGGGACAGAATGCCATTGTCATGGAAGATCTTCAGGATAAGACAATTAGATTGGCTGGAAAGATTACTTCGTGAAATTGAAATCTCCGTCTAATCGATCGGAGTGCAATAAGAATATTCGAACGTTTCTCAAGTATTTGAGAAACAAAGGGCATAAAATTCCGCGGAATTCCAGTTTCAAGATTGCGCACAATACTCGAAAGCACAAAAAAGCATGCTGATGCTATCGTTCTTTTACTATTCAATCGCTTGAGAGATTAGAATTGTGAATTGTTTCACTCTTGGTCAGGACTCGCACCTGAAATGACACAGAGATCTATTACTCTCAGGGACTTTCGCAGTGAAATGCGCTAAGGAGAGAAGTGCTTTGTCTGCTGATAGAGTCTGGAAGACGTTGGCTCAAGAGCATCTCGTGAGACGCGCAATATGGCTCGAGTGAGAAGCCGCTGGGAAAGCCGTGTCCAGGCGGCGTGCGACTCACCTGAGTGTATCCCATGGGGATCTGCGGCTGTCCCATGAGCTGGTGGTGGTGCAGCGCGTGCATCCCGGGCGGCGAGGCGGTGGAGTTGGTGAGGAGCGGCTGCTGCGGCGCCGCGTGCTGCTGCGCCGCGGCTTCCGGCAGGGACGCGGGGCGGCTCTCCTTGATCTTCGTGAAGATCTCTGCGCACTTCATGCGCTGCTCGAACGAGAAGACGGGATGGTTGGTGGCCATGGTGTAGACGAGCAGCAGCTCCTGCAGCGGGTCGCCGTCGCTGAACTTGCCCAGGTCGCGCTCGCCCCATCCATCCAGGGTGCGGAAGAGCTCGTTGACGCACGGGCGGCTGCAGACGCGGATGAGGGCGAGGTAGAGGGCCATCTTCCGGCGGATCTTCATGTCGGTGGGCTCGCCCGACTGACAGGAGGCAATGTCCGCCGCCAGCTCTGTGGGATTGTTCACGCGCAGCTCGATGCCGCGGAGCTCCTGCGAGTCCCGCCTGCCCAGCTCCTCCAAGCACGTCCCGAGGAATCGCAGCTCAAATGGAAGGCACATATTCAGCAGGGTGCACATTGTGTCAATTCGTTTGTAACTTTCTAGCTCCTTGAACCACGAGACGACCGAATCTTTACAAATCATTATTTCCAGCACTCATTGATTGCCTGCACGATGAATCGATATTCCCATTCACCTTGCACAGTATCTACGCACACGGTAATTGATCTCAAGACCGATTTTTACCCAAATTCATGTATAAATTTTCAGCTTCTTCTGCAATTCTTTCAACTTGTGTGTGACACCATGATGTGGTGAATAGCAGGGTCACCACCAACCGCTTCCGCACCTCAGCTTTACCGTTTCGCTCCGCTCTTTTCACCACCCCAACCGATACCGCTAGCGCCCTTCGCGCACTATTCTCCTCGCTGGCATTGGGAAATTCGCAAGGTTTTTCGCGACAAAAATATCTTTATTAGATCTTCCAGATACAAATGAAAAAGAACTGGGCCTAGAATCCGTCATCATCTTCCTCGGCCATCTCCTTGGCCAACTCCAAGTCCTGCTGCTCGCGTTCACGTCTCTCCTCGGCGCTCTCGAGATCCTTGCCATAGGATTTGGGCGGGTAGCGCATGGCCTTGACGCTCTGGTTGTGGAGGTCCAGACAGAAGGAGATGCGCTGATGGAAGGCGAGCTGAGGCTCGCGCGTGCTGTAAATATCAGTGCTGTCCTTGCTGCGCAAGAAGCCTTTCTCAGGATCCAACGTGGCCTCAATCACGCCATCGCGGATGGCTTTGGCCACAATGAACTCAGCATCCTCAGCTGCGTCCAGGCCGAGCTTCTTGGCAATGTCTCGGGGCGAGATGCGCGAGTAAGAGAGTCCGATAGAGCGGATCGCCGCCTTGATGACGTTGTGCCGAAGTCGAATGATGAGCGTGTAAGTGTAGTCTTGTTGGAACTTGGGCCCAAAGTGTTCCAACACCTCGCTGAAGCGCTTCAGGTTGCCCAGTCGGACAGCCTGGGTGAGCTGGAAGTAGGGCGCCAAGGAGGGGCGCAGGGCGGCCTGACGGAAGATCTGACGCTCCGGAATATCACCGAGCAGGAGCTCCACCACGATGATGAGCTTCTGCACGTTCTGGCGGAAGCCAATAGCGGCATTCTGGGGCGCCTTTCTCAAAGCCATCACGAGATTCTTGTGCGCCTGGCTGTACTCCAGCTTGGCGCCTTTGATTCTGCCCAAGTAATACAAGAATCTCGCCCACTCGTTGTTGCTGGCCGTCTCAGGAAACACGGACTTGTTCACTAGCTTGTCCGCCTGGTCGTACAGGGAGTAGTGAAGGTAATTCCTCAGCAGGCAGTTGATGATTACCGCCTGCCCTTCGAAGTCATTTCGCAGAGTGGCCGTTCGCAGGCGGGCGTGCAAAAAGCCTCGGATGCTGTCTAGTTTGTTGGTCAACTCTGCCACTCGGGAGTGATAGAAGTACGCCTTGGCGGCCAGAAGATCCAGCGTGCGACGATTCTGCGTGACGATTTTGTTCATCAGAGCATCTGAAAATTGCGACGCTTTCTCCAGATTTCGCCCGTCCAAGAGGCGCACCAGCACCAGAAGATGATAGTAAGCGTCCACCTCTGGCAAGGGGGACTTTGTGGCCGCTCTTGCGCGGGGCACATCGAGCTCTGTTGTCCCCGCAGGAAGCTCCTCGACGAACGCCAGAATGGCATTCCTCTCCTGTCCCACCGGATAGAGCTGTGTGGCCAGACTCCGCATCACCACAGCGTTGGTCTTCTGACGTGTGTTGGGCAGTGCTCTGAGCACACGCAGGATAAATCGGGGCTCCTTGCTCACGACGGCCTTCTCAATTTGCTTGGCATGCTCCCTGATCTCCTGCACGGCCAAAACATCCGCTTCTACCTTCAATTTCTCCGGATCTGGCGGCGATTCCGCGCTCTCCATCTCCACATCCTGCACCACTGCAGTCTCTGCTGTCTGTTGACCCATTTCACGAGCACTTTACTCACAAGAAAACAGTGAAATTTGCGAAAAAGTGAGGCTAACAAATTATCAAAAAGTGCCGAGTAATGAACTGTCAAGTTTTCTCACACAACTCGCCCAACTCGTCGAAAGTCGCCGAGTGAAAGTGCAATGTTGGCAGCACTCAATATTTCATTCAAAAACATTACTCGTTGCATGAATAAATGCATTGACTGGAACTTATTTTATTGATATTACAACTCTTCCAACATTTCAAGTAATCATATCTCTCACTTTCAAGTTATTTATTTGCATTTAGGTGTTAGAAAACGGCAGTGAAGCATCGCGTGAAACATAAAGTCGCTCTCGCTCTGCGCAATGTGAAGGTTGGCAGCTTGCAAACGGTAAAATCCACCACCTTCTTCATGGCTGTGGTGAATATCAGTGTGAACGCGGACCATTTTCACTCGAGTATTTCCCTTGAAATTGTGCCATTTCCCTTGCAAAGGGTCTTCAAAGTGCTCCAAAATCTTGCTCATAGTGTTCGCTGTCTTCCCATTGACGCCACCACGAACAGGTAAATAGCATAAGAATCGTATTTCATTGGGATTTCGCATCGTTGCAAAGCGGGTCAGAGAATGTGCTTCGCTGGAGAGAGCCCGGAAAAAAGGCGATTGTGTTTGGATTATGGAGGACGCTTTTGCGGAGAAAAGCCATCATTGTCTAAATCCACGCTATCTCGGTCCTATTCTTCGCTACTTTGCCACTGTCCAGCAACTCGCTGAGAGCCAAGTGGGCGCCATGGGTGGAAATACGATGGAAAAATGGCTCCAAAAATCTTGCATTTGACAAAATGATTTTTTTCCGATTCAGCAAGAAATTCAAGTTCCGGTCAGAAAACGTGATTTTCAAGAAATTTTTCTCTTTTTATCCCACCATTGCTGCGGCATTTGTGCTGGCTTGTTGCCTTGCGACGCACAAGAGTCTCACGCAGAGATTATAGGGTAATTGAAAGACAAAGTCTTGAGCATTTTCACTTCCATGGTGGAAAAAAGGCGAGTGAAAAGGAAAATTAATGCGCCCGGTTTAATTGAGTGCTTTCTCTCTCGCTCTCACCCGATAGCCTTTCAATGTTACACGCAGCATCTTCCCTCTCAAACGCCAATGCTCGTGAAAAGAGCCACCAAATCTTTGAGAGTCTGTCGCTATGTCCTGAAGAGCAGCAGCACTTCGCCCATGATAAGGGATGTCCACATTCATTATTCATAGAAAGTGCCGAGAAGATTTACACACACCCAAATTTTCCGATGGCAATAGGAAGAAGAGACGCTCATATTTTTCCACCTGTAAAATCCCAACAGAGGGAACAGCATGAAAAATGTCTCCCATGAGAAATTGTCGAAAAACCCTTCGCCAATGAGGTATTTATGCCTCGTAAGTGAATGTGGTGCAAATGAGTGAGATGCTTTCGCCGCACAACTGGATATTTATAGAGGCCCTCGAGTTTCCCACTCAGCTGAATGGAATTTTCATTAGGGTAGTGAAGAGATGAACGAATTGCAAATTGCACAAATTCCAGCGGCGTTCAATTAGCCAACGGCCATTGGATATTACGAGTTTGCACAAAGAAAAATTTTGAAAATTTTTGCTAAGAAATGAAGTGGGAAGTAGGACAATTTTGCCGGCATTAATTCCACAGAAGAAGGAATATAGTTAGAAGTTCTAATCCAAATTATCTGATTCAGAGTGAGCTCTTAGTTTCGACATCTTAAAAATTTGCGATTTATTTCCATTATTCCTTATTCTATGGCTCTGAAGTTGAGAATTCAATTCTCAATAACGAAATATCTACAATTAAGTCTAAAGGTCATTATTAAATTGCTGAACAGGAACTTCCATGACTGCACTTTTCGAATGACTTTATGAGATTATTGGTTGATTCGAGCTCTGATAGCACAATTAGCAAAAATCGTCGAAAGACCGAATGAACTGAAGATCATGCTGTGTGAAGATGTGAATGCCCTGCAAATTTACTCTTTATATTGCAACGGGGCAATTACTGGAGAGGAGAATGATGCAAAAAGTGTATTTTTGATAAATATTTTCCCCAACATAAACAGACATTTGATAAACATTCCACGCTTTAATTAGCATAAGCAATAATTTTCTCAAGACGACTATCGCACACCAACTGGCGTTGGATTCCTGGAAGTGCTCCAAGTGCGGGGCGAGTGATTTGGTGGTGCCGTGCTGATAGCAGAGCAATTTTCTCATATGATGCACTTTTTAATGTGTCTCACTCTCGCACTCTCAAAACGGCGATCATTTTCCCAAATGATAATTTTTGCATGCACTTTATATCTCTCCCATTGTGATTATTGTTCTCTCTCTCTCTGTCTGTCTCTTTGTTCATTCCCTCACTGTGGGAGAGATATTGACAAAATTGGGTAATTATATTCTCTTGCTCTTGCTCTCTGCCGGCTTAATTTCTCATGGAGATTCTCTTCACTTTCCTGAGAAAAGACATTAGGTTTTCGGTGGAAAATCTCGCGATGTGTGTGAGAAAGGGAGTGACATTGGGGTTTTTTATTCCGACTGAGCAAGTGAGAGAAAGAGAGAGAGAGAATTTTGTGGAGGAAAATACATTTCGGGGCCTTATCTCTCTCAGTTTCATTTCATTTGATTGTGTGTGCAAAAGAACAAAGAACAGACGTGAAAGCAAGAGAAAATGAGAAAGAAAGAGACTCTCGCATCCCAAAATGTATAATTTATATTTTCGCGCGCACATAAGGGGTGATCGATAAATATTTTCTTACACTCTGTGTAATATATCTCGAGTATATCTCCGTTTTATACCACTTTTCATGTGATTTGTGGCTCTTTTTCAGGTGTGGATGAGCCACAGGAAGGTGTGCAGATGAGACAAAGCGCAGAGAAGAGGCTGACGAAGTGAAGCACGTGGAGGAAGAAAGATGTGAGAAGCGGGAGAATTTTTGGCAAAAATCAAGACTGAGGAAGATAAAATATCTGTCGAGTGCGTGTTGGTGAAGAGTAGCGATATGGCTGCTACACAAAATGGCAGCAAGAGCATCAACGGCGGTGGCGGCAGAGAATTCGTGGAGGGATGGACCCTGGCACAGACTCTCGGCGAAGGAGCATATGGAGAGTAAGTTCTTTTTTGCCTCACTGCCTTTCCGCGAATTGTGTGAATGCGCGGGAGGGAGACAGTGTGAGCCTCGATGAGGGAGATGTAGAATCTCGTGAGAGCGAGAAGAATGGGCAAGAGATAGAGAGTAGACGAAAAAACATAGTGACGTGTAATTTGTGGACATATTTCGGTTGAAACGCAGCACTGATAAGGAGAGGGACATGATGGCACATAAAAGAGCGAGGATCCTTCCTTTGACTACATTTGAGACACGCCGTGTTTTCTCTGTCTTTTCCCCACAACTTTTCGCCTATTTTTTGCGAGGAAAATATTCACGAGAGACATCTACAAAGCTGGAGTTTTAAAATTGATTTCAGTATGGTGGAAAAGTCTTGCGTTTTCGCACAAAATCTTCGCAATGTTTGTGGGTAATGTCTGGAGAAGAATAAGGACGAAAATATAGTGCACGCATGAGAAACGTGTAATTGTATAATTTTACAATTGCAAGAGCAAAAAAGTGGAGGGAATGCAGGAAGTTTGGGGATGACACTGAGTTTGAATGAACTGTGATGAAGAGCGACAGGGTGTCCTAAGAAGGAAGGTAGACTGTGTGTGACTAAGGTGAATGAAGCGGGAAAGGCCAGAGAATGTGTGAATAAGAGGGAAATGAGTGAGTCACCCTGCATTTTGTGTGTGTATTTGATATGCTCAATGCGAAAAGGCAGCAACAGAAACTTATTGATTTTCTCATCTCTCTCGCTTGCCGGCAATTTGAGTCCTCCGTGTGTTGCATGTAACACTTTGGCAATTGGAGGGCGTGTGGAGGAAAAGATGTTGACTTTTCACGGCGAAAGCATTGGGAGAGTTGGTGTGAAAGGAAGGATTCTTTCTCTCTCGCTCGCTCTGCTTGGAGAGTGCTTCAATATTGAGGGGGAGGCCAATAATGGGAGGCACGTTCTCTTTCAGTTGACATCCTCTGAGAATTCACATAGAGCTTTTGAAGTTTTCCTGTTACAAGGGTTAAAAAATATTGTTTGTTAATATTTCAAAGTGATACGCTTGTGATATCAATTCCCATATCTCAACTCATCTTTCATTGCAATTAGAGTTGAGGTAAAGCAGTGGAGAAAGTAAGAATACAAAAGCTTGAAAGAACGAAAGAAAGAGTGATGAAAATATCGATAAACAGTTTTTGTTCCAAAATCTCGACGTTTTTTAAATAAGAGTTTAGTTTTCTCGAATTTACTTCGGATCAAAGCCCTGGAACCACAGTGAAGGGTTTTTAAATTTTAATGTTTCTTATGAAAATTTGCAGTCAAAATAGATTTCTTTATAGGTTAGTTTAACTGTTATTCGATTCTGCTGTATTTTAAATTTACCCCAGAAGTCCCAGCTTCTCCTCCATGTAATAAGGGCACGCGTGTGCTTATCTCGTGCTTTAGTCTCTGTGCGTATGTGTGAAAAATTGCTGAGAACTTTGTGGTTCTCTGCCTTCACATCAATTCAACGCGTGTTGTATAAGGGAGGAAAAAAGTGTATAGAAGAAGAGAAAATGCTGTGAGTATTTGAGAGGAGGGCTTTTTCGGTTGTGATATGGGGAGAAAAAGCGAGAACATGGAGTGTATATAGTTTTTTACTGCTTCTTTGGTAGTTAATCAATAGAAAATTGAGCATGTATTTTTGTCCTTTGTATCATTGATCAAACAAGAATGTTTTCCCCACATTTTATTACATTATTGCTCTTTTTCTTCTCTCCTCCATCTCAGGGTGAAATTGCTGATAAATCATCAAACTGGTGAGGCGGTGGCGATGAAGATGGTCAATTTTGACCGACATCCCGATGCCAAAGTGTCTGTGAAGAAGGAGGTGTGCATCCAGAAGATCCTGCAGAACCCTCGAATACTGAAGTTTTACGGGAAAAGGACTCAGGGATCGATAGAGTATATTTTCCTCGAATATGCGGCCGGCGGTGAGCTTTTTGATAGGATTGGTGAGTTTAATGTGATGAAGAGAGTCACATGACAATTTTATTTTACTAAATTGCGCCCACTTTTCCTTTTTTTCACGTGATGGCATTACAGAACCCGATGTTGGAATGGCGCAGAGTGAGGCACAGAGGTATTTTTTGCAACTCATGTCCGGCGTAAAGTATCTCCATGAGCGCGGTGTGGCCCATCGAGATCTCAAGCCCGAGAATATTCTTCTGGACGAGAGGGACAACATAAAAATTTCAGACTTTGGTATGGCCACCATGTTTAGGTAACATTAGTGCTAATTTTCCCTTACTTACCTTCACTCAGCTAAATAAAAATAAGAGTAATTTGAAGAATGCATCAAAAAAAAGCAACACAATTTAATTTCGCGGTTGAATTCTCTTTTATTTATCAAAAATGTATGAATTATTAATGTAAAAATGTGTACACAAACATTAATTTAAAGTTGAGGATTCATAAAATGTTCCAATGTTGTTAAAACTTTTACACAATTTCATTTGTGGCGAGGAATGCAAGTGAATTTTGAATTTGCAACTTTGATGCTTTATTGGATTGCAGTAGAGATAATTTGGTTGGAAATTAATTGATGGTTGTTTTGTGTCCCTCGAGGGAAATTGATATAAATTATAATTGTGCAATTTGTGCCTCTCTTCTTCCTCTTCATATTCCACAACATTTCATCTGATGTGCAACCATGGGTCATCATTCTTCCAAAATTCAACACCCACTCATGTCCGTCGGGACGGCAAATGTGGTATTTCGTGTGCAAACTTGCGCTGTTGCAAAATATACAAACAAATTGTGTGTTGCTGACTGGGACATAGGATGAAGGGACAGGAGAGACTTCTCGACAAACGATGTGGAACATTGCCTTACGTGGCGCCCGAAGTTCTTGTGCGACCTTACGCTGCAACGCCGGCTGATATTTGGTCTTGTGGCATCATCCTCGTTACTCTGTTGGCTGGAGGTGAGTGTATAATGTGTGTTTAGAGTTTGTATGTCGCATAATCTCTGTACAGTTTCTCACACTTTGCATTTTTGGTGTGGTGCAGATTTTCCTCAAGTGCGACTGAGTGATAAAAGAGAGAATCAATGTCTGGATGAGGATCTATTCCTTAAATACTATTTACAAGGTTCCAGATTTTACTGTACAGAAAGTAATCAATTGTGGGAATTGAATATTTCATATGACAACATTTTGTTTGGGAAGAAAAGCTTGTTTCGGCAATTTTCACATATTGAGCTGGGCAAAGTCCGGCTCTATCTGTAATCGCGCCAAAAATCAAATGTCGCAAAATCGACTAAAATGACATTAAGGAGGTTAATTATGGAGTTCTATGTAGTTATGAAGGTTTGAATTGTTTTGGTATAACATTGGGTTGGTCACATTTCGAGTTGGTTGCGTCGCCCAGCTCACCCATAAGCTATCCTTGGCGTTTGCTTATCACGTCCTTTACTTTGTTGCGAATGGAAATGGTGTTCTAAATGTTCTTTTCACAATTGGATTCTTTCTGTAGTGAAGTATAGATGCACATATATTTGAGTGTTTGTACTTTATTTTAACCAGTTTGCGTAGTGTGACAATTCGGGAAATTGAAAATTGAAGTGAAGAAAACTGTGGGAGAGAGAAAAAAAATGCTGTATCAACCTTGCTCGATCTTTGGTATTCTAGCTGTAGATTGTATAATTTGAAATTGTCTAAAGCTTTAATACCAGAGGTCCAGCAATGATTTGCTTGAGCACCAAAAACTGCACAATACCGCACTGCTGCTCATCTACTATACTTCCACTTTAGTCTAGAGATAATGAGAGAACATTAACAGACACGTGTGGCCAGATTAATTGTTGTGTAATTCACGAGACTTTCCGTTTGTGTGCTTTTCCTTTTCAACTGACAGAGAGAGAGAGAAAGAGAGAAAGAAGAAAGGATGTGAAGAACAAAGTGAAAGGAGGAAAATTACATGCTTTAATTTCTTATTTTTCCCTCCATTTAATGATTTTTACACATCGCCTGACGAAAGGTACAAAAGGAATTCATAATGGTTTCTGTTCTTTTCTTTCTCTTTCTGGGTGCATTGTGTAGAATTGCCGTGGGACAAACCGACGACATCGTGTAAGGATTTTCTCATGTGGAAGGAAAATACCACGTGGACGTCGATAACGCCGTGGAAGAAGCTGACAACACTGCAATTGTCGCTGTTGAAGAAAATTCTTGCCATTGAGCCCAAGGAGAGATTGACTATGCAGCAAATTTTGGATCACAAATGGTGCAATTTGAGGTTCAGTTCAACAGGTAAGACTGTGGTGAATGCTAATGGGAGTGAAATCTTCCTGTGGCTTTGCCCACAAGGTGACTTTAAGACTTGTTCCCTCGATTATGTACATATTACTCTGAATTTTGCAGGATTCCTATTTGCACTTCTACTTGATTTGCATACCATGGTTCGTTCAGGTACTGAGTGACTCTCAGGTGGCTGTTGAAAACGCTGAGAGGAACTTGGTGCCTGGATGAAACAAGGGGAGTGACTTCAATGCGGTTTTAATGTGTGCGATCATTCTGATTTGACTTTAAGTAGTAATTTGATGAAATCCGTTCGAAAAGGCAACATTTTGAGTTTAAAGTCGATTCATCAAGTGAGATCAAAAAGAAAATTCCTACAAGACTTTAAAGTTTCTCAAGTATTTGGAGCTCTCCTTTTATCTCGATTGTACGAGGTTTGAAGAATTTAGAGGAAGAGGGAGAGAGAGAGAGAGTTGAATGTTCATAGAAGAGTGAGAATATTTCAAGAATGGGATGGTCGATGGAGAACAATGTTCAAGAGTTTGCAAGAATGGAAACATTCTATTGATGTGACAAGTGTTGCCAGAAGAATCTCAAAGTATTCTTCATACGTTTATGAGCGAGGACAGCGTGAAAACTTTTAATTGTTTCTCAAGTGTTGAGGGAGAAAGATTTAATTTCCGCACACTGGACAGCAGTTTTTCCCACATCAATGAACATTTCTGGCTCTTAAAGCTTGTTGATGCAAAGGGAATGTGGAAAAGTGATGTTTTATGTCAGGGGTGCAAAAAATCCAATATGCGATGAAATTGAATTTCACCCAAGAATCCAAGGGAAATCCCTTTTTTCTCCAACGTCAACACTTGAAGCGATTTTGCCGTAATCCATCCTTCTGGAAGTCACGATAGTGTGTCTTATTGTCAGGGCTTTTGAGCATTTTATCGGGACGTCAAATGTCCGAATAAATTACAGAAATACAATCGTGAATCTCTGAGCGTCTCTCGGCGGCTGGAGTGCAGGAAAGTGGCAAATATCTGCCCGTGAAACAGTCATCACCGCTTTGGCGCTTTAGCTGTATGATAGATTTGCTATTTCATAAAGCTAGATTACCAAAGCATTGAGGATTTGTTTACATTCGTCGCAGCAATTTGACTGGTCGAACTGAGGAAAGATTTTCACGTCTTTGCTGGAGGTACAAATAACACTTGAGCCGATTTTCCTTTTTTTCCGTTCATTTCTTTTCGTGTGTGTGTTCTTTCTTACTCTTCTTTTTCTTTGGTTTTACCAACTATGCAGTCTTTGGTGATTTTAGCTGTATGGTGCATATACTTTCCATAGGGCTTTATCACCAAACACCGGATGGTTGTTTTTGTTCAATTTCACACATGATTTTTGATTGAATTTTGAATATGATTTGTCCAAACAAATTTGTACTTATGTTGTATTCTGCATCATTTATTTGTATCTTGTCTGCTGATGATTCACGCTCTAATTCTCTATCTATAGTGGCAAAAGGTATTTCCACGGAGTCAAAACAATGAAAATTGCGTAATAATATCTTTTTGAAAAGTTTCCTTCACTAATTTGTAGACGGGCGAAATATTAAGCATGAATAACATTTTCGTTGTGAATTAACAAACTCGGTGCTTTCATGTCTGGCAGCAGTGTGCAATACTGTGCTATATAATAGTGGTATTTTGCCCACGAGGAGTTCGTATGCAATGGTTTCCTCGCTAGAATTATTCTACAGACAAATCATGAGGTTTTCCTAGAAATTTAGTTTACTTCTGTAAAGACCAGAAATGTGCAAGAGGAGAAATAGCAAACATTTGTATGCAGTTTCTAGTATTTTCAACACTTGAAGGGACCTATTTGTGCCATTATGCTTAAATTCGTTCCCTTTTCTCTGGCTGCAATATCCTTAATTCTGATCATAATTTCTCCCTCTTTCAACATATCTATGAGATTAGTTCGCATTCAAGAGAATCATCAGCAGAAATAATGTTTGATTGATGTGCCTTTTATCCTCTTAAAGAGAGTTAACTAATGAGAGTTTCTTTATCTATTTACCTTTGCAGATTGCGCTAATGCGGATGACCCACTGCAACACCAGAGAAAGCGACTTCGTTCAGATTTGGACATCTCTGGAGAGCGCGAGATCAGCGGTAGGATTTACTTAACGCAGCCCAATGAGCGCTCAACGGACACCACAGACGCTGTTGGTCTGGAAATGCAAACTAGTGGCTTCTGCTTCTCGCAGCCGACGCTCCTGGACGACCTCATTCTGTGCAGTCAGATAAATCCGACACAAGGCACGCAGTCGAGTCAAAGTCTGATGCAGCGCCTCGTGAAGCGAATGACACGATTCTTCGTGGTCACAAAGTGCGAAGAGACCATCAAAAGGATTTCCGCTGCTGTGAGCAAGCTGGGCTGCACGTGGAAGTGCGGCGAGGGCGGAACGATGACGGTGTCCACAGTGGACAGGAGAAAGCTGCAGCTCATCTTTAAGGTTACCCTCATTGAGATGGATGGCCGCTTGTTGGTGGACTTCCGGCTGTCGAAAGGGTGCGGCCTGGAGTTCAAGCGGAGCTTCATCAAAATCAAGAACACACTGAAAGACATTGTGGATAGTTAGGAGGATGACTTGTGCCATTGACGCTCTTTTGCACGAAACGTCGAGAGCGATGACCTCCGGAGGTCAAGTGGTTGGCGTTGCGGCGAGTGGCGCGTCATTCGGCAACAGCCAAGACGGAGGGAAGCTGACTCACTGACGAAAATATCAGCGCAGAAGAATATTAATAGTTTTTTATTGATCAACTGACATCTAAGTTAAGTGTTACATTGTATTTCACCGTTTGACGATTTTCTCAAATAAATGATTTAAGCATTGTAGAGCGAATGTTTTGCTATGTGAGGAATATTTTTATTGATTTAGGGCGTGAGAAGTTTACATAATTTTCAAGGCATTTTATTTTAAAGTTTATCACAGCAACGTCACAAATGCGCCATAATTTGACTGACGCGAGAAACAATACATTCTGTGGTTTCTGCTCTGCGGTTTTTAACAGATCAGTCAGAATGTATCAACGGAGAGTCATTTTTCTAAGTTAGTAAGTTTGTAAATAGCGTAATTTACTGAAAAAAATTGCGCTCAAGTGACAATCATATTTTCACACTGTTTATGACAATTTCTGAATAAATTATGCAAATTTTATTCTCACTTTTAAGTACAGAGTACAAAGAATCCATTCAAAAGGACTCAACAATAGGAAGTGAAATAGTATTGTGTTCTGTCGTTCTGTCTCATAGAATCTTACCCTAAATACTGTTCCGCGTATGTTTTCTGTTGCGTCGCGCCATAAAAGAGTTCCGGACAATCCTCATAATCAGAAGAAGTGTGGAAAAAAACAACAATACGAATAAATTAGACAAATCATGGTTTGGTATATATTTATTAGTATTTATTTTATTACAATAATTCATAAAATTGCCTATCATGTTGTTTTCCTTTTGAATGATGAGAGAAAAACTAATTGTTAAGAAAGACGGACGCGCAAATTTTCGCGGAAGATGATTTAAGCGCTCTTCCTTCATGAAAAGAGCAAGTCCTTTCGGTGTGTAAATAAATAGAAATGGAATTAACAGTGGCGTATCAAGATTTCCCTCAATATAAATCGACGCATTCTATTAGTTCTTTAAAATGTTACTTAAAATACACTACAAAAAAGCACTTTAGTAAGTTCTGAGATTACTATGTAGTGTGTTTTGTGATGGTTGTCTTCGAATTTCCCCATTTTCCCCCTTTCCCGTCTTTCGTAACAATTTTCCCCTAATCAGATGTTCGCAATTTTCTTCTTACTTCCCGTAAAACTCATTATCATCTCTTCTCTTCCTTTTATAAATAAAATTGGACTAACAAATTTACAATATAGCAATACAGTCAGTCACTTTACTATTATTTTTTTTTTCATTAAAGATTTTCTCAGAGTTTCCTTTCATCCTCCTTTGATCTCTTAAAGTTATTATAAAAAGTCGTTCAATTATAACCACAATTTCATTAGCAAATAGTGTTTGTCTGCACTTAAGTTAAGAAGTTACCTTTCTTGCTCTTGCGAAGTCGTTGAACAGCGATTTTTTCTCTTAATCTTTAGTTAGTTTCATGGTTGGAGTTATTGGATGACACTTTCTTCTTATTCTCGATCGCAAGGAAAAGCTTTTCCTTTGTTGTTATTTTATAAAAAAGAAACAAGATCTTTGCAAACCTCGAGAGAAAATTAATAATACTTCTCATTACTCTTCTTTCCTTAGTATGCTTTACATGGGGGGAATTCAATGAAAATCTCTATGAATTCACGAGAATTGTCTACAAAACATGGACCTTCTTTAGTTCATGGGAAAAAACTTAAATTCTTTGTCATATTCAGTGTAATATCAACTCCCAGAAGTTTGTTTCTTCGTATTGCAGTAGACATTCAACTAATTGGTGATTGTTTTATTTCCTATTTCTCCTTCCTTCCTCTCATCACTTCATTGTGTCTATGTAAAAAGAAATATATATAGCGCTATAAGTCGTCAATGTGAATGATTAAATAATAAAAAATAGCATTTATTCTATTTAAGGTTTGACTACACTTACGCTCAAGAATTGTTTTAAGAAACACATTGAAAAAGAATTTCTCATTCCTTCCCTTAAATTTATCATAGAAATTTAGCAGATATTTTCCTTCGCAAACTAAATCCTTCCTTGCAGTGACTCGCGACATGTCTCAAAACGGTGTAATGACCACATATTCTTTATTATTTTTATCTTCTTATAATCTATTTTTTTATTTGACAAATGCATTCATTTTTCAGCTATTTTCGTGTGAAATCATTTTCTCAAATGTTTATTAAAAAAAAATCATAGGTTTTCCTTCTTTTCTCTGATTCACAATCCGGAAATATTGTGCACAAAAGTTGAAAATATTTTCCTCTCGCTCAATTACCATCTCGCGCTCTCAATAAAGAAATACAAATTGCTTCTCAAAAATGATTCCTGCTTTTTTGGCGTGTCTGATTTTTTTCATCATTTTCATTACTACATTACAAGTGATTTTGTAAGGAAGCTTTACAATTTATAAACAATTTAATATTATCATATAATTTTTTCTCGCATTTACAAGGTGAAAGTAGAAATATGGTAAAAGTAGAAAATGAAATTTGACGAAAAATTTTTTTCCAGAAAAAGAAACGAAATGGCAAAATTGTCTTTCATCGAAAGGATCCTCAAATGGATTTACTCTTTCTCTTCTAAATCGTAGATATTCTTTCATCTTCGTGTTTTTATCTTCCATGTTTTAAGTAGTAAGTTAATCATCAGTTTAAAAAATGAACACTTTGCCTGGTGGGTTTTTCTGATATTTATTGCACGCTGCATGAATTCTTGTGGCCATTCTTGTGCTTGAGACGAGATTTGGGCTTGTATTTCTCCAAGTAGGACAGCTGCTTAGAGTTGATAGCACCGCGACGCTTGCTGCAAAGTCAGAGCAAAACAATCCCAAAGGTTAGTACGTCTTCCGCCATCCTCCATGCAAAAGCCTCTACTCACTCCCGAATCAATTCAACAGCTGCTTCATATTTGAGACCTAATTCAATCAGCGCCAGAGCCACAAGCACCGGAGCCCTTCCGAGTCCAGCCACGCAATGCACAGCGACGCATGCCTCGGGATTCTCTTGATACCTGTTCAGGAAAGAATCATCATCAGAAATTCAGACTAGTTTCAACGGTGTTTTCTTCCACTCACTTTTGCCGGAGAATTTCGAACCACTCGTCGACGACATTCTGTGGCGGGAATGTTCCGTCCTCAAAGGCCAAATCGCGCACCACAATTCCCTGAGTCTTGAGCTCGTCGATCTTATAAGACGGCTCGCACACTCTCACCACGGTGCTCACATCGTGCTTCTTCAGTTCCTGCAAGCAGAGCAAAACAGTGCGACACATCATTAACTCTTCTCATGGCAAAACTCAACTCAAATGATCTGGGAAAACATGAATTTGACCTCCATCGGCATCTTGATCACATATTCAGCCAAGATTCATTGCTCATTCATTTGCATATTCAGGAGAATTTTAATCACAATTAAGGCTCAATTTCTCAGAAATCTATATAGTTCGACAAACATCAGAACCATTGTCATATTAAATGCTCTTCATCAGTGCGGAAAGTGGAAACTTCTTTGTCTGACTCACACAATTTCCAGGAAGCTATTCAAACAAATTTCCTCAAAGTGTCTAAAAATAAATTTCAAACGAATTCTACATTTTTAAAAACTTGCACTTTATTATCTCTTTTGTGCGCATTTAAACATTTTTTGGATTAAACTTTTGAATTTGATATAAACACATTTTCACAGCAAAATTTCACTTTCAAACACACCACATACAATAGAAAATTCTCTCGCCGTTTCCGAGAAGAGCAGTAATATTTGATTGTAGAAAAATAAATAAGCCGCAATTATTATCAATTCACAGCAAGGAATTCAAGCAAAGAAAGAAACTAATTATTTTCCATCTAATCCCATCTCAACAGAAAAAAATTGTACCATTATACATCTCAAAGAGGTTCATGTTGTACACCAGCAAAGTGGAATTGAGATTTATCGTCAATTTGGCACTAAAACACATTTTCTCTCGTGCAAATCGTAGGCGATAAAATACCGAAATGTCATGAATAAAATAGTGCGAAAGGCTCTTCTTTTTCTCCTCAACTCTACAGTTGTAAAAAAAAACTCACCAGAATATAGGAGTGAATTGTGTGATCCGACGGCCGATCTGTGATGAGGAACTTCATGCCCTTGAACTCAATCCGGGCTGGAGCTGGTCTAATGTCCTTCTGACGCATGATGCTGCTCATTCCACCGAAACCCCAGGAAAAGATCCAAAAACTTGCTGTGCTTCTTCTTGAGAAAAGACACTCTCTCCAAAAGAGAAAATCTACTTGTCGCAACTCCTCAGCAAAAAAAAGTTATTTATGAAGTTTGCTTCCTTCTCACAATATTTCGCAAGTATAAAACGGAAAATTTATCAAAATTCAACTGACTGACAAATTATTTGCACTCCCTTCTAACGTAAAATTCCCTGGTTTGCTCTCTCTCTTTAAAATATTTTGTCTTCTCAATATTACTACAATTTTTTTTCTTCTTTCCAATCAATCGGACGTCATTTAAAAATTGTCTATCTAAAATTGTAAATTCTCGCCTGCTTGTTTGTTATTTTTTTTCTGTCCTAATCAGTGGATAAAGAAAAGTGAGAGGAAACGATAGAGAATTTACAAGAAAATTAAGATGAAAAATGAATATGTACGAGGAAGAGCCTATCACAAGTAATACACAATTACAAAAATTCTTTAGAAAACTACAGAGTTATACTTAAACTTTAATGGTATTAGCGATTCTCAATTTTTTATACTCTCTATTTTATGTAAAAATTGCCTCTCCTTTCTCCTATTTTCTCCAATTGAACTCTTTTCTCTCTATCAATCACTCACTACCAAAAATATTTTGCGTTCTTATCCGTAAACCTTGAAAGAGAAGAGAAGAAAACACATCAAATTGATAAAAACAAACATTAGTGACCTTCTTTCTCAAAATAGATGCTAAGTAAAGTAGTGAAAATTATTGCTAATTTTTTTCTTCTTCAAATTGCTAAACATACAAAAGCTTATTGTCTCAAGTTTAAAGAAAGAGAAGTTCTATTCTCATAATGTCGCTTCAATGTGTGCCTCTCTAAAATATTCAACAAAATCCTGCACATTTTCCCCTATATTTAATCATTTTTCTTCACACTCAATTTAAATTTCACTTCATGGTGAATTACATTTTCACGAAGCACCAAAAAATTTCTGTCGGCACTCTTTTTTTGACACTCAATTGCCGCGCTTTCAATCTGCATTCAATATATTTTTCACCACAAATGCAAAATTGTATAAAATTGGCAATTTATTGGCGTGGGCGAAATATTATTTTTACATTTCTCTGCTTTCACCCATGACAGTGTCAACCCGCAAGAAAAAACATACACTGACCATATATTTTTACTGATAATAATTTGAGAAACAATATTTACGTCAAATTATTAAAGCTTAAAAGTAAAAATACTCACCGAATTCACGACTTTTCCGTCCTAATTTTTTAAAGGGTGTTGTTGATCAAGTATTTCTGACTTCTTTTCTCCTCTGATATGCACCAAATTACTTCGTCTTGTTCTCCTTTTCACACATTCAACATGCTGGGCATGGATGTTGAACAAAACGGCAACCTACTCTTGCTTATACACAAAACAACACTATCACTTTCTTTTGCTTAGCTCCTAACGAAAATTCTTAATGGTTGCAAGTGTCACAATTTTAGGATAACTCCACTTCACACTACTTTACGTGTTTCTCTTATATCAGTGTCTTTACTATTTTCCTTCTTACGCCACACGCTGCTTATTGTAATTATTTTGTAATCTTAGTTTTCTAGCTTCCTCTTGTCCTTTTTATTTGTGCTGAGCCTGGCAGTATTCGCCGCTGTCCAATTGAAACTCCATAGATGTTGGGACTACTCGAACTGACTGCAATTAGAAAACGATACACAAAATTACTCATTAGACTCTCCATTGTAATTAAGAATCATTTCATGTGGAATTCTCAACCATATTCCCGCCCAGACAGAGAGAGAGAGAGAGATGTTCAACGCAGAATGAGTAGAAAACCATTTTTATTTTGCCATAAATTCTCATCCAAACAAGATTATAATCAAATTAACTTTATTGCGTCATTTCAGCAAACATGCGTTTCAAAAAGGAGAATTTTTCTGAGAAATATCTCTAAACTTCAGCACAATATCTCGATGGCTTCTCAAAACATGCAATAATTTCGGAAAAGTGTCTTAGCAAAGATCTCTCGCAACCCAGATAGATTTTCACTAAATTAGCCGAGCTGATTCATTCATGAAATCATCATGACCAGAACATCTCTCTTATCTGCAATCTTGTAAATCATCGCACATCCCCCTCTCTCTTAACTAGTGCATATAGTGGAAACTATATAGAAAAAGCACATCGATAATTATATCCGGTAGATATGACAGCAAAAGTGGGAGTTTATCTAAAAACCACTGCCACGCCATAATTTATGCATAAAGTCTCAAAACTATTGTAATCAATTTACTGTTCAAAGTGTCTGTGGAATCGTCACTGTAATATCTTAACATCAACTGTTTGTGTCTGACCCCTAGATTTAGTTTCAACAGATAAACTACATTTTTCCACCATAAATGACGTCTCGAATTTTAATTAATTGGGCTCGAAATTGCGATCTACTTCTATGTTTCTACTTTATTTTCTTCTGCTAGTAAAGTGATTCTTTAAAAATAAGAAAAAAAAACACGAAAACCGTTCTCTTTTTCTTACAGTTACATTGCATCCACTTTGTGGGGTTGTTATAATAAATATACATATGATCAAAAAGGACTATAATTTTGAGTTTCTTTTCAGTGGCAAAAAGGTCTCAACCTTGTCATTTCAACTTTGTGTGTTTCCACGATAAAATTAATAATAAGGCAGTGTTCAAATAAATCAATAACTTTCTTTCTTCTTTCTTTCTTTCCATGACAAATCAAGAGTTTTCATACGCCAATCATATAAAGATAATGCAACAGATTGAGATTTTTTTTTAAATTACCCAGTAAAACATACTGAAATTTTAGTTTCTCATTCATATGAATGTTGAAAAGATATAAAATAGTAATAGTTGTTCCATATGCCATAAAACTACACACTTTTTTATCTTCATATCCAAGAACTATTCATATTTACAAAATATTTTCTTCACCCAATGGTTCATGTTAAATTTGTTTTTGTCTGTCACACAGTGCGACTCTACACATATTTTTCCTCCCTTCCTTTCACCCCGCAACAGCCTCTTTCCCTCTCTCTGGTCACACTCTCGTGGCATTTTTGGCACATCACTTGAGCAAGAAAAAAAGTCCATCACTAATGGTGCTTTTGCGACTCAAACATCAGGCCAAGAATATCCAAAATGACTTAAAATAATCCCATGAGTATTTTGTCTGCGCACACTTTATTACACTATCTTAACTCTGTTATTTATTTTCATTAATTTGGCTCAAAACAAATTATTTTTGTCAGATTGTGTACCTTAAATAAAAACACACTTTTTGGTCATTATCCCCATTGTAGCACATTTTTGTGGAAAGAGTTGAAATGAAGTGAAATACAAAATATTTGGTATATCAATTTCAAAAGATACCACAAGAAATTATAATATTCGATAAGGATTACACGTGATTCTTCACTCTCTGTTTACCTAGACGATTGCCAGATACTCGATATATTATCCACTGATGGGACAAAACCAGCAAGTCTGCAAGAGTTTCCTATTCAGACCAATTCAGAGAAAATACTGGCAAGTGACTTTATGTCTCTCTTCACTACTCCTGCTGACGCTTCGAAAGCAACTTTAGGTCACTCAATTAACATTGAGAGACAGACACTCTTTCCTCAAACATACATAGACTCATATTAATATCGTCAAAACACTGCGCGCCATGGAGAAATGAGGGGAAATCTGCGATCTAGCATGCACTCAGCTCTGTGATCAACATACTTGCGGCACCCGGGCGTCCACGACAGAGGTGATTTGAATCTGTGAGGAAAAGTCACACATTTTCTGCTTGAGACAGTGTTTTATCTACCCTTGACCTTGTGTATATCTCCTGATCTCTCACTCTCCGTGTCTCTTTCCTCCTCCTCTGCTAAATACACACTTCACTATGTTCATCCGCATGAGAATCATTCCTCAGAATATTCAGTGATCAGTCGTTCTTCCCCTCTTGCCGCATATTAATAGAACATCTCTCAACTCATGTGTGCATGCATTAGCTTAAACACAAATGAATATATACTGATCTATACAATTACCACTTAAGTCAACACAGCGAAGCAGCAGAGTGATCTGTATCTAACAACTCGATTATATCTAAATGACACTCGGCGAGGACAAATTAAACTGTGCATCAACAGATCTCACAAAAGCCATGTAATACCTTATTTCCTAGGACTGCGTCGAGCTACTCAATGAATGAGACTGAGCGTTTTGCGACATATCTTCTCACTTAATCACATACACATATCAGCAAATTTTCTTCTCCGACAGAGTTGTGTTTAATTGAGATAGAAATTTCTTCACGTTTATCTCAAATTACAAATGTTCCCTGACATTATTTGCCAAAATTCATTTTTGGACTTGTTAACAAATTAACAATCGTTCGAGATTAATTCAGGATTATTCTGGTTAAATTAATCTTGACAGTGACACATGATGTTTTCACAATGACTTGCATGTGGCTGCAACATTCGTCACTTAAATGGCAAATATGCCCATTCTAACTATTTTCAACCAACTTTTTCACTGCTCGTATTAAATTTAGCTTTACATTGTCTTGTTTTCAACTTTGTGGAAATTTTGCCTGCCTCTTCTATCTTTTTTTCTCCTATCAAATCTCTATGATTCATCCTCCACTCTCAACACTGTGCAGACCAACACATAATCGCAAATTACCAACACATAAATAAAGTCGTTGGCGCCACACGAAATACAATTATCACATGATTACTGTTGTGTATTCTTCTGTTTCATCTTCTTTTAATATTGACGTCTCAAATGTTTAACTCTTGCGATTGCGATGTCGCATCTTGCCGTAGAGATTGAATGACACACTTCATAAACACTTTTCGCATCTTTCTCTCGCTCTGCTCTTCTTCCGACCGTATTTTTGTCTATATAATATCATGGTGTAACGAGTATAAGGTGGTCTCATACTCAAAACGAAAGGGCCAGAAAATGCATCAGTCTGTCTCACGCGTGACGTCACAAGCAGAAACCAAACTTGCATTTTGTATGGAAAAAGGGACTTTTTCTCTGTTTTTTGGCTTTTTTGGGTATTCTTCGCTATAAAGTACCCATTGGCTCATATCAAAAGATGCGCCAATATTTCATCTATCTAATTATGAAGCTCTAGAGGAATTTTAAGACATATTATTAACCTTTTTTAAGCATTTTCTGAGACGAAACATCCTTACGCTGCTCAATACCATGCCACAGGTCTCACGCACGTCTTACAAACACAATTTGGAAACACGCATAGGAAAAGACGACACTCCCTTGCAAGAAATTTGCACCACTTGTACAAAATTTTGAAATCTCAAATATTACAATTTCTAAAATTAATGAAAAAATTTATTTTCTAAAAAATTTTATTGATTATTGCCATTTATTTATTATTGCCATAATATTACCATTTGTCTTAAATGTAATCAGCACTAAATGTGATTTTATATGTATAATATAATGGGCCGAAACTGAAATCATTGGGTTACAGATAGAATATATTTCACATCACATTGTTAATTTCGCGTTCTCTGAGGAACCTCATGAGTGCGTCCTTCCTATTCCTTCCCTCCTCAATCACGCAGCTCGTTAGTTCCTCACGTCGATTGCTCCTTGTCCTGACCTGATTGCACGGAACATCTCTTTTGCCCGAAACTCATATTGGAAGAATGTGGTTGAGATCTTCAACTTCCCCACCAAATACACGATCCGCTCTTATGTATACTGCAAAAAATGAAAATAATTAGTTACTTCAAGACAGAAATTTAAAACTGGAAAGGATTTTATGTACTTACTTTCTTTAGTTTTTTCCGAGACTTCTCCGCACGTCGTTGTTTTCCTTTTAAATACAACCGCCGTATGCGGATATGGGTTCGTGTCCGGAAGTATAATCTTTGGGTCTCTTGGGAACAACTTACTAGTTGTCCCCTCATTTTACTCAACAAATTCTCCATGTAATTCCCATTTTTGTTGAGTTTCCCATTTGGATTATACTCCCGGAACACTCTCTCCATCAGCGTGGCCTCTTTCAAAAATTTTTCGTTGGGTTCGTAGAGGCCACCTTCGGAAATGGATCGAACCCAACTTGCCATGGCTGTGAGTTTCGTTTTTTTTGAAGTTGGGGCTCCCAAATCTTCATCTCGTCGCCTTTTATATGCGACGAAACCCGCCACATATTGGAGCCCACAACTCTCAATAACTTCTCTCGGGACTTTCCGGGGAATCCTAATTTGGTCAGACGGTCGATCTTCACTATTTTCCTCTTCGACGTATAGTGGATCAATTACCGTTGCTGACTCTGGCATATTTTCAAATACAGTTTCTGTGACTGCACAAGATCCGTGTATTGTTAGTGGCATGATGTTTTGATGCTTTGATGTCTTGGAATTCCTGGACGAGCATAGATATCTCTTGAATCTGCCACAAAACGCCAAACAATCAGGATTCCCGTTTAAATAGCCCATGCTACGTATTCTGGAGAAAAAGTTCTCTAATACGTCTTGATTTAAGCGGTCGGTCAGAATATATTCCAATTTATATTGTGCATTCATATCAATATACAACTTTCTTATAGATCGGATAGACCGCACAATTCCATTTTGGAAATGTACTTTATTTTTTGCAGCATATTCTGACTTCGTTTTTGACGATATCTTAAGAA